GGTGGCCTCCGTCACCGCCTTCAACACGTCCGCCTTGAACGACTTCATGAGCTCGTCCGGGAAGGCTGGCGTGGGCTGCGGCGGGGGCGGCGGCGGCACGGCGATGGTGCGAGTTACCGCGGCGGCAATGTTGGCCTGCGCGGCGGCTAGGTGCTTCGAGATGAAGTCCTCCAAACCCAGCTTCGCATCGTCCACCACCGCTTCCACGTGGTTGCCCAAGGCGGCGACCGCTTTTGCGCGTTCAACTGCCATACTTCCCTCCGGACCGTCGATTTCCGCCAACCACGTCGACGCCTTTTCGGCGAAGGACTTCATCGCCTTCCACGATTCGTCCATGTGGTTGGTGATGTTGTCCGTGATGGTTGTCGACACGGCCGACGTCGCATCTAGCAGCCGTTTCGCCGCATTATGGTCGGAGACGGCGACCTGGTCGGCCAACGACTGGAGCTTGTCGAGGAGTCCCCGCATCCCCAACACAAACCTGTCCACCCGACCCCTTTCATCTTCGAGCGCCTTCTCCATACGGGCATTTTCTGCCGTCAATCGCCTGTTCTCCTGTCGCAGCTGCTCGACGACGTCCAGCGGTGCCTGCCGACCAGATGCGGAGGAACCGGGATGACCGCGCGCCGCCTTCTTCACCCTAGACCGCTCCCCCCCGGCCTTCCCTGCGGTGGTCTCGGTAGGCGCTTCCACGCCCGTCGGCTTCGTGGCCGCGGCGTTATCCCCTTCTCCAATGACCTCGAGGTCGATAACTTCCTTCGCGTCGCCATCCACATCGCCGACCACGACCTTCTCACCCCCCCCGTGAGCCTCCTCCATGCCGACTTTCTCCTCGTCGGCATCCTGCCCTCCCTTGTTCACAACATCTGCCGACCTCCCAGCCGTTTCCGCCGCTCCCTCTACGTACTCCACCTCCATTTCCTCCAACTCCCACTCGACCTCTTCCTCCTGCTCCCCCTCTTGCTGCTTCTCCGCCTCCTCCGCCTCCTCCTCCTCCTCCTCCTCCTCCTCCTCCTCCTCCTCCTCCTCCTCCTCCTCCTCCTCGTCCTCCTCGTCCTCCTCCTCCTCCTCCTCCTCCTCCTCCTCCTCCTCCTCCTCCTCCTCCTCACGATCCTCATGGTCCTCTTCCTGGTCCTCGTTATCCTCCTGGTTCTTCTCCGCGGTCCCAGTCACCGCCCTTCCCGCCTCCTCATCTTCCTTGTCGACGCCGCCTCCGGGCTCTCCGATCGAAGTCCCACGCGCATCATCGACGGTGTAGGCGACACCTATTGCTGTGGATGCCAAAGGGGCCTCCTCGCCGTCGTCGTCACAGGCGTCGGCAGCAACTCCGACATGGCCCGACCGTTTGAGAGCGACGTGCTCCTTGACGAATGTTATCATCCCATTCCGCAGCCCCTTCAACCCCGAAACGTTGACCTTGTCCATGCTGGTCTCACTGCGACGGATGGCGCCGGTCAGGAGATCCATCCTCCTCACCACCCAGCACAACGCGCTCATTGCTAGCAGGCCGGAGCCCGCGTCCCCGTCCCGGACGGCGTCGGGCACTTTCTGCATACAACAGTTCAGAGCGCAAGGATGAGCACCGCGTTCGGCAATCGCATCGCGCAAGGATGACATAGGACGGTGATTCGTTCGGAACTCACATCTCGAACGGGTTGATCGCAGTCGGCGAGCCTGTCCTCCACCTCTTCATCGGAAGGCTTCGCCCACTCCCACTTCCTACCATCGCACCCAAGCTCGGCCAGGACCGCCGCCCGGAAAAACCTGAAGCAGCATGGCACAGATTGTCGGTAAGCATGGTTTACGCTGCGCGGCGAAATTGCATGCGTCGTCGACTACACTATCGAGCTCACTTCAGCACGCGGATCGCCTCGTCGCGGTGCCACTGCTTCACGGTCTGCGGGTCAAAGTGCCGGATCGAGGTCCTGATCTTCTCCCCCCCACCCTTCAACAGGTCGCCGGGGTACAGGATGACAACGATGCTGCAATGTGCTCCTGGAAGCGGTGCGATGCTGCACAGGCAAGGCACGACGACGTCGTTCAGAACAGAGCACCGACATAGGATGCAACACACATCGTGACGACTTCTAACCAGCTCACCTCGAAGTCAAGGGGATAACCGCTACGTCGGCGTCGAAAACCGTCGCAAAGCATGTGTGGTCCGCCCAACCCATCGCCGCCCGAAGCCGACCGAGTCCTATCGACCACAATCGCATGTTGGCCGGCGCCGCGCGAGTCCATGCGTGCCTGCACGCATGCATGGGAATGAGGAGTGAGTGAGTATGTGCACGACACGACGGTGGATACGTTGGTTTAGGAACCGCCGACCGACGGGGATGGCAATCGTACGACGGTGCACCACCCTCGCGACGTTGTAATCAATTGAGCCGACCGATGCGTGCCTAATGCCTGTGCCGACACCGACCTACTGTCGGCGTCGACGTGAACTCGTAGCGCCGCCTCCGACGTGGGACAACCCTAACACCGACGCTGCGTCGACCAGCAATGTAAGAAGATGTCGACGCCGACATCCACATACGCAGACTCACTTGATGCCGAATCCCAAGCAACGGGCGTTGAACTCTAGCCTATGGTCTACGAGGACGGCGTAGTCGTGTTCCTCGAGCTTGGCAGTGAGTCCACTACCGAGGTCGAGATACAGAGGGAAGTCCTGCACGGTCGGCGCCTCTTCGCCGGCTTTCGGGCCGGCCTCCATTGCGTTGAAGGGAATTGACTGCAGGCTAAGGGACGAGAATGTGGGAGTAATGTTGAAAGTGAAACGAGATGCCGAAAATGAGGAGCGATGCCTCCTTCCGCCAAGGAAAGGGAGTCGGTGCCCCACAGGCCGGTTGAGGCATCGCCCAGGGTTCGTGGTGCCTGGCTCGGCAGGGTTTGGCGGGCTGCATGCACAAGCGCTCCTTCGCCGCCGAGCCAGCACGTCGACTTCGCGTCCCCCGGCTTCGCTCGGCGAGGGGACGCAATTTCGCATGCGCGCGGTGCCTCGTTTCGGCCGACACGTGTCGACTTCGCCCCGGATCGCGAAAACCCCGCGCCGCGATGCGAGCGAGCCGATTTCGCCGGGCTCGAAATTTCGCATGCACCCGATGCGAACCCGCGTGCGAGCACGCGGCGTCACCGCAACGGGTCGCGAAATCGTCGAGCTTCCCGAGGGGAGCACCCGAATTTCGCATGGCCCTCGCCTGCCCGTCCGGGCAGGTCGCGAGGGTCACTAGGACGTCGCGGGCAGCGGGCACGGGAGGGCTGCCTTCGCGCGAGGGTTACTTTCCCTCGCGCGAGGGCTCGCCAGCTCGCCGCCCCCACCCGGTAACGTGGGGCGCTGTTCAATCACGCAGGGGGGTTGCGGGGCGGCGGTCGTGCGCTCGGCCCGGCCCTGGGCCAGGCTGGCGGGCCCGCACGCGCGTCAGTTGCCCGCCTCGTCGGGCCCGGCTCCGACGACCCCCTCTCGACGACACCGGCAAATCGGTTCCGACGACCGATTTGCGCTGGGATGTTCGGTTTTGGGGGTGTCGTTCGCGGGAAGGCGATGTTTGGAATTTCGGATTACTATATTCTTGGTTCACCAGGAGATTTAGGAGTATTAAGGCATTCCACAGTATAGTGTTTTCGCACTGAAAACTGAAATCCAGAGCCCATCGAAGCTTATTGTGACTAGTTTCTGTCACTTCCAGAACCATTCGCGGCAGAAGTCACTGACACTTATACACCAGGGTTCCGTTCGACTTGGGAGAACTGAAGTCCCTCAAATAAACCAGAAGGGCGTCTCCCCGCGCTCAGCCGCCTTGGTCTGATTCGCGAATGCCGTTCGAGAACTTGTAACTCGTATAGCTCTTCGTGCATGCTTCGCTCTACATAGCCGAGTGAGGCGGTCATTGCTGCTGCACTACAGCCAGATCCTTCACTTTCTTCAGTTCACCACACTTTTCTCGCTCCGAGGTTAGGGTTCCTTTTTCTGGCTGGTGGTGTGAGTCTAGTTGATTGGATTGTGTCATCTACTAGCTCAATCCACCATGGTATTGTGAGTTTAGAAGGCTTGTGTATCAGCTTCTAGCTCCAGTCCGGCTGTATCGTTACAGTCTGCATCGGGATGGCGTGAGAAGCCTTGCGTGATCCAGACGCCAGCGGAGTGCGGAAGACCACCGTCGCGGACTCAGTCATCCCTGAACTCACTGGATTTACTGCCGTACGCCGCACCTCAAATCTGCAGGAGTAGGCGCAGCTTCACGAGAACATTGGTCGACAGAACGCGTTGACATCTCCCTTTAACATTAGCCATTACGCTCATCACAGCGGCAGGCGTCGTCGTCAGTTTGTAACGATTAGTAGAGTGAACAACTCCTGGCGCAAGCTTGCGGAGGAAGCGTTTAAGCAAGGATCGGCTAGGTTTTCCGCACAGAAGCCCGTGACGACAGCAGCACGCCATGGGTCCCTTGGCGTTACCCTTGTCGACCGGCAAACGCTCACTCAGATCCAGACGCGATAGGAACGTCTTCGCTTCCGTCGCTTATGGCCAGATCTCCGGCAGAAGTAATAAGAGCATCCGTCGTCTTCCGAAGCCTCTGTATCAGAGGCTCTACGCGTTGTCTCATGGCATGGCTGGCTTATGCAAGGATGTCGAATCGCACTTTTTGGCGAACGATCTAGAAGCGTGCAGAAGTGTGATTGGCCGGATCTTTCGCAACATCGGGGAGTCTTCGAGTAGCAACCAGCAGAGCAGCCGCGACTGGTTTGTTTACTGCGGAGGTGATACCCTCTTCATCCGCATTCTCTCCTCGCCGTTCGCGAATCCTCGCGAAACAGGTCGCGAAGGAAGCTCCACGTCACTTACCGCTGGAGCAGCAACGGGATCTGACGGAGGGGGAAGAGTTGGGGGGGGATCGCGGAACCGCCGTGGGATCTTCCGCACGGAGAGCGCGGAGGGATCGCGGGAGTCGGGGACGTTCCGAGAGGGGGAGACGTCGCGGGAGGAGACGGCGCTATGGATGATGCGCAACGACTGCCTGGCGGTGCTGCGCGAGATGTGCTTCGCGTCCGCGTGCTTCTCCGAGGGGCTGTCCGTGCAGCGCCAGTTCCTCATCCGCCTCTTCGCGCTCATGGAGAATAAAATCACCTTCGACTACGGTACGCACCATGGATGGACGGTGCGCGTCGCATGCCGGCCAGCGACACTTCTTCGGTTTGACTGATTTCGAGCTCGTTCTGCCTCTTCCGCATCACGTTTCCTGCGCGTTCATGCTCTTCGCGCATCCTAGTTCCCGTCTCTCGTTTCTCTGCCCATCTGATTCGTAGCTCTTTCTAGCTCTTCGTGCGTCTCGTCTTGAGCTCGTTCTATGCTTCCCCCCGCTTGCGTCCTCCCCTCTACCCCGTCACAGCCGTCGCGCTAGCGGAGGAGATCCTGGCGGTGGGGGAGGAGACGCTGAATCTGGGGTCCGTGCCCAACTTCGCGCGGCTGGTGCGCGGGCTGTCGTCGCGGCAGCTCTCCTTCTTCTGCCGCGTGCTCGCCATGGTGGTCTTCGAACCCGAGGACCGCGCGCCCGAGGTGTCCGCGCTGCAGAAGGGCGCGGACCCGGCGGAGCGCGCGGAGAGGGAGGCGGAGTGGGCGGTGGCGGACGGCAACCACGACGTGCTGCTGGCCATCCCCGACATCCTCGCCAACCTCGTCAAGCTCCTGCAGGTGGGGTCCCGCGGTGCTCACTCGCACAGCCCATGCTGTGCTGTGCTGTTCTGTACTGTGCCGTCCGGCTGTCGTAAATCCGCTGCAGGTGCGAAGTGTGTTTTGTTTCGGCCTGATCACCCGGTTCGTCTCTCTGTCCACTCCGTTATGATCGCCACCACCTTCCAACATAATAACGACTCTGTGATGATTGTGTATCGTTGTGCGTGATGCTGTGTTGACCCTGCGGGTGGCAGATGGAGAGCAGCGGCGAGGCGGACCTGTGGTCGCCCAGCCTGAGCGAGTGGCAGCCGCTGCTGGGCGACCTGATGGCTGGCGAGGACGAGACCGCGGCCGACTGGGGGCCTGAAGAGGATGACGAGGAGGACTATAACGAGGACGGGGAGGAGTACGAGGAGGAGGAGGAGCAGGAGGAGGAGGAGGAGGAGGAGGAGTTGTTGGAGGTGGAGGAGGAGGTTGATATGGAGGGTGAGTTGTTGGAGGAGGACGAGGTTGGGGAGGGTGCGGAGGCAGAGGAGGGGGAGGAAGGGGAAGGGTCTGGGTTCTACGAGGATGTTGAGGAGGAGATTGCGGGGGAGGACGAGGAGGAGGGCGGGGAAGAGGGGGAAGTAGAGGAGGAGGAGGAAGTGCGCGGGGGGGTGAGCAGGAGTGGGGGCGAGAGGCAGGGGCCCAGGTTGGGGAGGCTGTGGGGGGGAGGGGATGGTGCGGAGAGGGCGGGAGGCGGGAGGGAGAGGAGGGAGAGTGCGGGTGGGGGTGCGGCTGCGGGCGCCATTCATTTCATACAGGGCTTGTTCGGCTGGGGAACCGGCGATGCTAGTACCAGCACCCATAGCACTGGCGCTGGCGGTGGCGGTAGTGGGGGAGGGAGGGAGGCGGAAGGAAGTGGGGGGAGCAGAGGCGCGGTACAGGGTGCTTCGGAAGGCGCTGGCGCAGGGGGAGACGGCGGAGATGGCGGGGCGGAAGCCTCTGGCGCGGCAGGCAGGCAGGCGGGCAGGGGGAATCTCTGGGGGGGGTTCGGGCTGTTTGGGGGCATAGGGGGACTTCGCCCAGGGGGAACAGGCGGAGGGGGAGGAGCAGCGCGGGAGGGAAGAGGGGGGGCAGGGGAAGGAGGAGAGGAGCAGGAGCCTGGTCCCGATAGCGGTGGTGGTGCTGTGGCTGTTGGTCAAAGACGAACTGGTGCTGCTGCGCCTGCAGCAGGAGTGGCGCCACGCGAAGCAGCAGATACCACCCGAGGGCCCTTCTCCCCGCGTTCGCCGCCTGTTGCCGCTCCTCCCCCCCGCATGCCGCCGCTCCTCCCCCCTTCGCCCCATGCTGCCGTCCTGCCCTTCTCCCCCCATCCCACCATGCTTACAGGAACCTCCACCTCCCCTCCTCGACCACCCCCTAACCGCACTCCACCCACTGCTACCCAACCGGGAGCGCTTCCCCAAGTGAATACGATAGGCATTCCAATGACCGCGAATCCCCTGAACCTGCTCCCACTCACCGCGCCTGCCAACCCCGCCGCCGCAACCGCCGCGGAGGCAGCAGGCGCGGGCATCCCCGCGGGCGCGCGGGTGATGGTGTTCGTGGGGAACCCGCCGCGCCTGCTGGGGGAGGTGCCCGAGGGCGAGCTGGAGCCCTTCCTGCGCGCGCTGCCGCAGGGCGCCGTTACTGTTCTCAGGGCTGGCGAAATCGGGTTACCAGAGGGCGCGGGGCCTGCTGCTGTGGCGACGAACATGGCTGCTTCGTTCATGGAGCAACAGGTGAGCGCTGGGGGGGTGACCAGGAGGCTGGGCACTGCCATGGCATGGCATGGCATGGCATGGCATGGCATGGCATGGCATGGCATGCACGAAATGTTGTGGAAGGCATGGTACTGCATGGCAAGTGCAGCTGTTTGTGTTCTGCTCCATGCCTGGTATGCCCTTTCCCGCATTCAAAACAGCATTGCCCGTCATGCCCTGCTGCCTTGCAGCTTCTCAGTACATTCTCCCGTCACCCGCATCCGTGTCCGCCTGTTGCGGCCTCGCTCCCATTGCACGGCAGCAGCAGGTGGAGGTGTTGTTTGTGCTGTGTGCGCTGTGTGGCGGCAAGCGCAAGGAGGCGGTGCAGGACCAGCTGGCGGGGCTGGGGCTGGTGGCCATCCTCGTTGACTCGTTTGACCGCCTCAACTGGTCTGCGCCTCTGCCGCCGCCCGCTGAGCCACATGGCATCCACGGGCCTGGCTGCTCCTGCAACCCTGAGTCGGTCAGTGCCTCTTCCTCCCACAACCTGCTTCCATCATCTCGCTGCCAGTGCTTTCCCCTTATTACATCGCCTGTAATCCTGATATGCCTCTCTGCATCTACTTACACTTCACCTCATCGCTCTGCACCTTCCTAAGGCCCCTCAAAACCCAGTGCCTCTCATCCCTAACTTCTACTGTTCTTACCTCCATCACCTCTCTGCGCCGCTCTGCACCCCTTCGCAGGCCCTCAAGATCCAGTACCTGCGTCTGATCCACAACTTCTGCGATCGAGACGGCCCCAACCTGCACAACAAGCTGCTCCTCGCCTCGCCCGGTGGGGTACCACCGCCCCTCGCTGCTGCTGCTGGTACACCAACCCTGATTGCTGCCTCGGGTATCGCTGCAAGTGCAAGCACCCCTGGAAGCACGACTGCTGGTGGTGGTGCTGGTGGTGGGGCGACCATCAGTGGTGGCAGCAGCAGCTCCAGCGGCAGCAGTGGGGGCGTGGGTGGGAGGGTGCAGGCAAGCACACAGGGAGAGGGAAACGGAGACGGGCAGGGACAAGGAGAGGGAGAGGGGGAGGAGCAAGGGTATGCGCTGGGGTTTGGGGCAAGCTTGGGGCGGGCGCTAGGGTTCTCACCGAACCAATGGCTGCCTGGCTTGGGTATGAGAGATGGCGCAGGTGACTCTGGTGTGTTGTCTCAGGCCGTGGGAGTGGGCTCAAGCAGAGCAGAGGGAAGCAGTGCAATAGCAGCAGGAGGAGGAACAGAAGCAGCAGCAGCAGCGGGAGCAGGTGGGGTGGTGGAGGGAGGAGGCGGTGAGGAGGCGAAGAACGAGGCGCTGATGTTGAAGATAATCCGAGTGCTCATGAAGGAATCAGCCGACTCCGTGTACCGCTTCTGGCTCGCATCTTGTGTCGAGGCCTTCCTCCGAGGCTCCAACCCGCGCGACCAGCAGCTCGTGGCGGCCACAGGCCTCATGGAGCACCTAGTGGAGGAGATTCTCCGAGGGGCATCGGGCTTTAAGTGTGCGGCGTCGCTACAGATCGACTTTGACCTGCTGGGCGAGCTGGTGAAGTTCAACCCGGTGCTGTTCCGGCGGCTTGCAGTGCTGGTGAAGGGGGAGCGGTTCAGCCGGTTCATCGAGGTGCTGGTCGCGCACCTCGTGGACTCAAATGTCTTTATTCGATCTGTCATGCTCTCCCTCCACGCCTTCCGCACCGGCCTCCCCACCCCGCCCTACCTCGGCCCCTGCCCCACGCCTGCGCTTCCCCCGCCTGTGCTGTCCCCTGCCCTTCCATCCACGTCCGCTGCTCCCTCTGCTGCACCCTCACTAGCAGCGTTGTCCTCCAAAGCTTCCTCCTCAAGCCCTGCGCCTGCCCTGCAGTCCTCTTCAGCTGCTACTGCTGCTGCTTCTGCTTCTGGGGAAGAGGAGGCAAAGAAGGAAATGGGACTTGCTGCTGATGGTGGTGATGCTGATGCTGGTGACGGCAGGAGTGGTGGTGATGATGATGGTGGCGATGCCAACAGCAGCTCAGGCGAGGGCGCGGACAGGAGAGGCAGGGAGAGGGAAGAGGAGTCGGCGTTCAAGGGCACACTTTCATGTGCGGCACCACTTGGGGTCTCTGAAGGATCAGCAGCAGCAGCACAGACAGCAGCAGACAGGAAGGGGAAGAAAAAGGTGGAAGAAGGGGAGAGGAGCGTGGAAAGAGGGAGTTTGTGGGAGGCAAAGGGGAAGGCGAAGGGGAAGGGGGTGATGGGGGAGGGGTCAGTGGAAGAGGAGGAGGAGGAGCTGGCGTCACCCCTGGCAGCGTTCATGGAGTGCAACTCGGTGCTGCTGCTGCGCGACCTCATGCTCGTCGTGCGCCTAGGAGACATCAACCAGGTGAGCGGATTGATTGGGAGGGTTGTGAGAGCAGGGTGTAGGGTGAGAGGTGTGTGTTGGGTGCAGTGCTAACTGCCTCTGGATTCCGTGTGCTGCTTTGGGGTGTCATGACAGTGGTTGCGGTGCAAATGGGGGTATCAACTAGGTGCGGTTATCAACAGCATGCCTCGTACATTTAGATTACCAGCAGTGAAGGAAGTGCAAGTGACTAAAAGGGAAGCGATTGTTTCCATTTCCTCCGCATCTTTTTTTAAACTCCCTGTCGCCCACTCTCATCCCTCTTCCTCCGATCTCCTTCTGCTCGCCTCAGCACAGCATCCGTGTGCACCACCCTCACCTGTTCTTATTCCCAAACTCCCTTGCCACCCTTCCCCCCCACCTCTCCCCCCTTTTCATCGTGTGTGCAGGACAACATCTGTGTGCTCAACACGGCGCTCATCTTCTTCATCTTCGCCAATCGCAACACGCAGCTCCTCTCTCTTCTCGCCGCCCTCCGGGCCGCCGACAAGGCCCAACCTGCATCCCTTGCTGCTTCCACCACCCTCCTCCAACCCTCCGCCCCTTCCTCTCCTGCTTCCCCATCCTCCCCTTCCTCCTCCTCACCCTCGTCCTCGCCCTCCTCACGCTCTCCCTCTTTCCTCTCCAAGCCCCCGTCTTCTGCTCTCCTCAACCCATCTTTGCTGCCTGAGCCGCTTTCTTCCACGTCTGAAGACTCGTCCTCTGGAGTGGGCCCGGGCAGCGTGATGAAAAACTTTCGGGTGCTGCTGGACTTTTGGCGGGAGTACTACTTGAGGAAGAGGGGCAGGGACTGTGCCAGCCTGCAGTTCTCCACCAACATTCCCTTCACCGAGTGGCTCCGAGTCGTTGAAATGCTTTGTGCGCCGCCGGACTGCCCGACCTCGCTTTTGTACTGCTCGCCGCTGCCAGCTAGTGGCTCGCAGTGCTCTTCTGTTGGGCTCAGGGTTGACCCCCCTCCCAGACGGTGCTGACATGATTGATTCTATCTGTCTCATTGATGGTCGTATACGTGTACTGTATTATCCTGTATTGTTGATAGTCATTGAATAAGAAGTAAAATATTGAAAATGACGAGGCTCTTCAGACTAGTAAAATTGTGAGCTGCACTTAATTTATAGCTCTCATAGCTCAGTTGGTTAGAGCACCCGTTTAGTAAGCGGGAGGTCTTGAGTTCAACTCTCAATGAGAGCAGCTTCTTTTTACTCTTGTGTCTGCTCTTCAACAACCACAGCCACTACCGTATATACCAGAGTCTAGGGCCTTGAAACCCAGGCATGGGATTTTAGATGAAAGCAGATTGCCTAAAACACACTGCCCAACTACTAATCACAAATCATCCTTCAATCAAGCAACAAGCTTTGCAGCACTTGCACACACGAGCAATGATCCACGCAGGCAATATGGTCCCACACCCTCCATGGGCTTCATGGGAATCCTGGTAATCCTAACTAAAGCTTCATGTCTCCAACATCCGGTGAAGCAGAGGGCTGGTGAAGCACTTCTCACTTAAAGAAATATAATCCGCGCTATGCCTAAACTGTCGTTGGGGCACCTGAGGCAGAGGATACTGCTGAGTGTAGTTCCCATTTTTCCACCACATTGGTGTTACAGCCCTCGAACCGGCAGCCAATGCAGGGTCGGACGAGTTTCTCGGAATCAGCGGCGCTGCGTTGCATGCGGCCCCGCTCGTCGTCCCCGCAGGGTTTACGCGCATGACTGCACGGCGGACGATGCGCGTGTCGCTCATGAACATGTCGCAGCCCACGTCCACCCACTCTCCTCCTCGGGAATACCCGCGTGCCTTCGGGAGATATTCACCCATGCCACCATGGCTCGCGATATCCGTGTCACTCAATTTGAATTGCACCGAAGTGTTCGCAGCAGCCGCGCCAGGCTTGAATCGAGGGCTCTTGGGGATGGTAGGGCACGGGGAGCGCGGAGTTCTGGGGCTCACGTGCATGTTTTCGGCGCGGAATCCGACGCGTGAGGTCTGATCGAAGCTGCTGCTGCGCCGCCCGATGGGCAGCTTGAAGCGAACCAGCTTGCCCATCAGAGTCCGTTTCGCGCTGGCCGTGGGGGACGACGACTTGACGGATTCCATCGCGGGCGTGGGAGGAACTTCGCATTCGTCCTCCAGCGCTTCCAGCTACGAGCACGACATTGCGGGAGACAGGGAGAACGAGTAAGTGGGTTACTCTTCTCAGACCTGAACCTTAGCTGAAAGGGCAGATATTATATGACGCTGCTTACCTCGGCCAGAATTGGATTTATGTGCCGATCCCCCCGGATGATGCCGTTGCTGACGTCATGCCGACGTGGCTCAGGATCCGCAGCGTCCCAGCTGGAAGTCCTCCGCTCCGCCACGTGGTCCCATCGTGCGCGAGTCTGCTCGAGGTTCAGCGCGGAGGCGGACCGCGCCATTTTAATCTCCTCTCCAGGAGCATAAAACGAGTCAAGAGCCTCCTTGGGGCATCCCGCCGCGACGTGCGGGGAGTGCGCCGCCGCGAACGGCGCGCATTGGAGATCTAGACCCGGCACCGAGACGATGCTCGCGGAAGGAGCCTCCGCCGCCGCCGCCGCCGCCGCCGCGGGCAGGGAGACACGGCGGAGGTAGTAGGTGGCGTTGAGGTTAAGGACCCGCTGCTGCTGGAGAAGAGGACCTGTGGACGTGCACGACAGCGCGTGGCTCGGGTAGTTGCACAGCACGTCGCACACGGTCAGGCGAGGCGTGTCGTACAGTCTCACGGAGCCGTCGGGTAACACGACGAGGACGGTGGGGACGTCGAGGCAATCAGCGTCGGGGATGAGGGATGCCGGTGCGCGGAGAGGAGAGTCCGCGCTTGTCGTGCGAACCAGCGGCACCGCCATGGCTGCTGCAGAAGATCTATCAACGTACCACTCAAAGAGTTAACCCCGCGGGTTTGAAAACAGTTGGATGGGGAAAACTGAATGCCCGATTGCCCGGAACAATCTGGAGACACGGGTTCGTGAATGGGCGTTAGATAAACTCAAGGAGTTCGAGGTCCTCGATTTGAAGTTGCGCTGGTGGGAGGGATGCAGCATCTTGCCACTAGGGCTTGAGAACAGAGGCATGCTACAACGTCCTTGCATGGAGTCCCCGAGACGCGTTTCGAGAAGAGTGACAGACAGAGCGGCGATGGGCTGAGCTGAGAGAGACAATGGCCGAGCTGGAAGCGATGGAGAGAATGATAAACTCGGGGGATTAGATTCAGCCACTTCCAGCGCCATAGGTGACAGAATCGTCTGCGGCGACATGGAGGTTGAGATGAATGATCGCACAGATAAAGACATGAAGCGCGGTTGGCGGACAGGTTGGCGAAGCAGCTGCGGGGAGTGACGACTGGCGAAATTTTCGAATTGTGAGGAAGGCGGAACTTCGGGCAGCGAAGAGCATCGAAACGAGGGAGATTCCGTCGCAGAAGCACCACCAATTTCGTACATGCGGCCACCCAATAAAGGACAGCCCCTGCTTGTGGAAGAATGCTCGGCTGTGCGAAGCGCTCGCACTTGGTAAGCCGACGCTGGCGACAGAAAGAGATCTCGATGATGACGTGAAAATTTGAGTTGTACACACGGTCCTCGCCAATTTCAATACCACCAATTTCACACCCTGAGCAATCCTTTCTGGTTTACCCGAAATCGAGGGTCATTCGGAAAGGTTTGGTTTGAAGTATGAAAATGTTCGAGACTACCCACACGAGTCAGGAGGAAAACAAAAAACATGGTCGCATCGGAAGATCTAGTACTTGCGCTGCAGCCACTAAACAATGTCACGAATAGCCATTAGTTCCTGAATGTCTGGTCCCTAAAGTCAAAAACGGTCAAGGGTAATTTCTGGAAAATTTCAGGGAGCGTGAAATTGGCGAGGACTCGGTGTATCTACTTCTTTTGCGATGATTCTATTGGTCGCATCCAGTGGGTGTATTCAACAAGATTTGCTTGCACACTTCACAATATCTCTAGCTGGCTAAATGCACATCATTGGCACTACACATGTTACACTCCTGCACATCATTCTTGCAGCTGCTTCAGCAGCGTCAAAAACAAATGAACGTGGCTCCCCTGTTTCTCCACATCACCTGTGCCTCGTAACGACGGCTCTGCTACTTTCACAATCTCGTTCTTGGAAATTCCATCTGTTGTTTTTCCACCATCCGCGACCACAATGTCGGAACTCTGTGCAGTGGCACTCAATTGCGGCGACGATGTGGAAGCAACTGACTGGATGGCCTGAGACAGGAACGTGGTGACATTCTCCTTGTGTGCACGGCCGAGCGATACTGCTGCCTCAGCTGCCGTTTTCATCAAGGATGGCCTTGGAGCGCTGCTGCTGCTGCTGCTGCTGCCAGTGCAGAAAGCATGAGTTAGTTCTTCTCCCCCACACCCCCCTTCCGCCAGCATTGCCATGAGCACCACCATCACATCACATGCCACTGATCTCAGTGCCACTCCACCGCCCTCCCTCGACCTGTCAGATTGCGCCACCTCCGCAATCCACGTCAGCACTGCCATCCGCACTCGCTCTCTCGCAGAAGGTGCCACACCTGAGGATGCTGACGTGGCAGTGTTGCGGGTGCTAGTGGATGCTGAAGTGGTCTGGGAAAGAATTGGGGATGGTGATGGGGCCATTATGGAAGCGTGAGAGAGTGGGTGTGAGGAGGAAGGTGAGGGGGAGTGTGGAAGAGAGGGTGAGGGGTACTGTGTGTGTTGTTGGGGTTGGGTGGAGGATGTGGGAGTGAGGAGGAGATCCGAACGGGACATGGGTCGAAGGCGGCTCGTGCGAGTAGGTTCGGTTCCCGAACCTGACGCACAAGGGAAGAGGCCGAAGAAAGCAGCTTGGGCAGTAGGGGAAACCAGAGAGCTGGAAAGCGTGGGGGCTGTCCTTGCTGCTGCTGACGTGACTGGTCTTACTGCTGATGTAACCTTTCGTAAGAGTGCACCTTCAGAGTCGTTTGATGTGGCAGGTTCAGTAGCCAGGCTCGGCGATGCCACCGAACCAGAATCTGGTACGGGTCTGAGGGTGAGTAGCCTCGTGAGGTCCACAGGACTTGGATTGGTGAGACGCCGAGAGGAGATTGACGCGAGGAAGGGGGTGGAGGGCGAGGAGCGAGAGGAGGAGGGAGAGGAGTGGGAGGGAAGAGAGGGGCCCTGGAGGAGCAGGGCGGCCATGAGAGGCCAGGAATCTTCCCGGATCTTTCTGGCCATGAAGGCATCGTCACACGTGGTGGACAGGGCTGTGATGACGTGGATGGATGAGACGATGAGCTGGCAAGGGAAATGGGCAGCGGGGAAGGAGGAAGGAATGGGAGGTTGAAAAACAGGAATGAGATGAAAAAAAAACCTGCGAGAGTGAAACGTAGAGCGACCAGGAACGGGATAGGCAAGAGCAAAGAAGAATATGAAGCACCCAATAAAAAGGGTCTGATCAACCTTCACAGCGGCTCAGCACTGACTCATTGAAACTGCATTAGGCTGCTGGGTACTCACAGCAGGGTGGCTCCTCTTGAGGCCAGAGACAGCATGGGGCCAGATCATGTGCACACGTGGCAGCAGCCAATTGGTCTCGTCCCTCACAGCATCCGCCACCTTGAGAGCATCCTCCGTGTCATGCATGGCTGCTACGTCATCCTGGAGAGATGCCAGGTCAGCTCGTAGCCCTGCCACATCATCCTCCAGCCAGTCCAGTAAACCGCTCCCCGGACCTCCACCCAAACCTGGCCCCCAACCTATGGCTGGATCTGTGCCCAAGCCTGAGTCGTGCAGGGTAGTGAGGTGAGTCTTGGCTCGTTTCACTCTCAACCGAACCACCTCCCTCACTGCCTCAAGCTCATTCGCCCTCGCACGCTGCGCCACATCAGCTGCTGACATGGCGGCCACCGACGCCTGCGCCACATCAGCAGCAAGCAGCGCCAGCTCAGCATCCCGACTGGCCATGAGCGGTCCACAGGCCTCCAGGCAGGCAGCAGCCAGCTGTGCATGCATGGCCACCACTCTTGTGCGATCCGACAGCTGGCTCAGCGCATGCCTCACACTCCACTGCTCCCTCCCCTCCCTTCCCTCGTGCCTGCTTCCCACTCCAGCTGCATTCCCCCCCTCCCGTGCCTCCTCCTTGTCATCTGCCTCTGACTTTGAATCCGACCCTAAGTTGTCCCACTCCTCATCACTCGAATTCCCCTCTCCCTCTCTCTCCTGCTCCTTGGACATCTCGTCCTCAACCTCGTCCTCTTTCCCCTCCACTGCCTCCGTCCCACTCAGAGGCCCCTCACAACGCACGGCGGCAGCAGCAGCTTGCATGCGGCGCGTGAACAAGGCCCGCACACCTGCTAGTGGGGCGGGCAGGCGACACAGGGAAGCCACACGGATGCAACAAGCCTCAAGAGCCAGGAGCAGTGGTGAACAAGCCTCAAGAGCCAGGAGCCAGGAGAGGGAAACAGTGCAGCAAGATGAAAGATTCGAATTGGAGGGGGGTTAGAGGGGGGTTAGAGGGGGGTTAGATCACCTGGATCACCTGGATCACCTGGATCACCTGATGACTTTGAGTCCCTCGCACTGCCATTGTCTGTGCCACCACTGCTGCTGTCGCCACAACGGTAGCGGGTGCTGCTGCTGCCTGTGTCTTGAGCAACAAGCCCGGGTCCACTGCTGGCAGGAGAGGATGCGAGGCCAGCAGCTTCAGAATCAGGGCAAACACGGTTGATGTGCTGCGGGTCAGGCTTATCACGACTGCTCAGATAATTAACTCCGACCCTCCCCTCCCCACCACCGCCACATCCCTCCTTGGCTCGCCGCAGCTTCCGAAGCTGCTTGCGTCGAGCCTGTTCCTCCCTCCGAAGCACCGCTATTGCTACCGAGGCTGCAGCTTCGGCATCGGTGCGCTTTGCTGATGTGGCGACGGCACATGCTGACATAAGCACACGGAGCACCTGGACGAGGGTGACTATATGGGGGGCGTGCTGCAAACGAGCGGTGATTTGCAGTGAGGCCAGGAGAGAGCGAATCTGTGGGCGAGGGAGGAAGGATCGGGGAAGGGGGACAGAGGGGAGGGAAGGGGGTAGGGGGAAGTGGGAAGGGGGAAAGATTAAGGCAGAACGGGGAAGGGAGATGGGGTTAGAGGGAAATCCGAAGCAGAGCTTATAAGCAGTTAATGAGACCTCACTCACAGCTCTGGACTGGTACCACAAGACAAAAGGGAAACATTATGAGATGTCGTTACATTATGAGATGTCGTTACATTATGTTGAATTGACAGGCAGCAACAGGTAGGAGTGATGGCAACATGCCCCAGAAAGTGAGACACAAACAGACTGGTTACCGGGTGGATGATGAGAGGCAGCATGCTCTCAAACGCCGATGGCAACACCGACGCCACTGTCGCTGGCGCTGCCACCGCTGCTGCTGCTGCTGCTGCTGCTGCTGCTGCATGCTCCACAGGCAGTGCAGGGGCGACGGGCACCACAGGGGCGGCAGCGGTGGCAGGCACGAGGGGCAGGAGGTGCATGAGGGCGAGCAGGAGGCAGGGCGCGGAGGGGTGGCAGTGGAGGGTGGAGAGGCCGGTGCACACAGTGGCGATGGCGTAGTCCATGTTGGCTGCTACCAACAGTGCCACCTGCATAAGAGGGAGGGAGATTAGCAGGAAGGGCAGAAGCAGGTGGTGACAGGCGTGAGGGCGGGCCATGGCACACAGTGGCAATGGCAGAGTCCATGTTGCCTGCCTGCTACCAAGGCAGGCAGCTGCATGGGAGGTGGGAGATGCGATGAGGAGGCACACGCAGGCAGCGACAGGCATGAGGGGATCGCACAGCAGCGTGGTTATTGCATGGGCCACAGCAGCAGAAAAGACAAGGGTGTAGGGGTGGGTGAGGACAATGAGTGGAGGAGAAAGAAGAGGGGTGGAAGGTGACGCACCGAGGGGTACCCGAACGATCGGGTGATGACGGAGAGGGCATGTGCAGCAGCAGAGGAGACACGGGCGTGGGGAGAGGCGAGCGAGCGCAGCAGTGGAGGGAAGGCGCGGCGCAGCGCACCGGAGTTTGTGGCATGTGATTGACCGAGGGCTGAGAGCGCTGCTGAGAGGGAGAGGAGGAGCACCTGTTGTGAGGAGGGGAGAAGAGAGAGGTAAGAGCAAAGGGGAAGATGAAAAGATAAAGATGTTGCACAGGGAGATGCCAACGCAGTGCCAATATCCCTTCTTCCCTCTCTGCTCCCCACTCACCGCTTGCAGGTTGGCGTTCTCATTCAGTCTACGCATCATCCCCCTCCGCTCCTCCTCACCCATCCATTCCCCCCCAGCACCGCTCTGCACCACTCTCCCTCCCCCCTGCGTCACGTCCACAGGCAGCTCCCACAGGTCCTCGTTCAGCAGCTCCCCCAGCACTGACCGCACCACCGGACCAACCACCGCATGCCACCTGTCCTCCCTTTGCGCCACTGCCTTGAGCCACTGAGCTCTCTGCTCCTCTTCCTCCCTCTCCTTCTCCTCAACCTGCACTGTTCCACTTCCCACCTCCACCTGCTCTCCCCCGCGAGGGTTAGCCCATGGCCCGCCACCACTGATGCCAGCAAGAACCTCGCTCAAAGCTAAGAGAAAAGATGAAGCTGCCCGAGCAGCAGAAACCTGCCCTGAAAGGTCCTCCTCTCCCTCCTTCCTACCTTCTACCTCCCTCCTTTCCGCCCCTTGCATCTCCCCATCCGTCCTCCCCTCTTTCCTCCTCCCCTTCACCTTACTTCGGCCACCCTCCTTCCCTTGTTTCTTGCCCACCTGTCCCCTCTTCCCTCCCTCAACCCCTTTTCCCATCCCCTCGACATCCACCCTTTCCTTCTTCTTGGCCCGGGCTCGCCTCCTCTCCCTCCGCCTCTCCTCCCCGATCCTCCCCACAGCCTCACGTAGTCCTTCCAGGAGCGGCTGGAAAAGGGCGGGAAGGGCCCCCATTGGCTGCTGCCACGCCGTCAACGCACCACCAACACCACCAGTAACAGTATCAGCAGCATCAGCGGCATCAGCAGCAGCAGCAAGGCGAGCAAGCACTCGCAGGAAGCGGCAGAACCAGAGGAGTGGAGGGGCGGTGGCGTCTACAGCTAGCGCTCCTTGCAGCATACGCACTGAGGGCTCTGATGCTCCACTGAGGTCAGATGATCCATTCAGGTTGTGCCGCCCCTCGCGATGATCCAATACCACCCAGAACCACCGTCGCCATCGCTCCTCCTCGCTCTCCTCTCCTGTGGCTACAGAGCGCAGCGCTGATGGAACACCTGGGTTGGGTGGCACAACACATGGGCTGGGTGGCATAACACCTGGGCTGGGTGGCGCAACACCTGGGGATTCACCTGACGCAACAGCTGAGCCGAGCAGTGGTGGAAGGGCGAGGGCAGGAGCAGGGGAGGAGTCGAGCGTGTGGGGGCTGCCGGGAGCAAAGGGCATATGCAGAGAGATGGCAGTGGAGAGGCGTGCAGAGAAGGCCTGGCGTGGTGGGAGAGAGGACGGGAGGGGGAGGGGTGGGAAGGGGGGATGGGACGATGATAAGGGAGGGCGTGCAAAAGAGGGGTGATACGGTGGAAGGAAAGTGTTTGGGCCACACATAACACAGCAGGCGCTGATTGGGGGATGCGTCACAAGTGGAGTGGAGTGATGGGGAGTGCATGCAACGCAAGAGGCTCACCGGGTCTAGGATGTGGTGGGCCGAGGGCAGAGGCCCTGCTGTGATGAGACCCGCTGAGAGCACTCGGAGAGAGGCCGTGGTGGCTTGCAGGTGAGAGGGGGAGGAGACGGGGGAGATGGAGGGGGAGAGGATGGGCGATGTCAGCAGCGGGGAGTGGAGGGGCAGGGAGAAGGTGGATGAGAGAGTGGTGGGCGGGGCGGGAGTTGCGAGGGATGCCATGTGCCTGTTGTGGGGTTGGGAGGGGGGAAGTAGGAGGGACAGGGGAAAGATGCACCTTGTGAGTCAGCCATCTCACGAGAGAGAGGTGAACGCACGCACCTGTACGTGTGTGAGCAAGTGCGGCCAATAAGCATGCTCTCGAGCAGACAACACTACAACAGCACTACTTGTGGGCACAAGACGCACAAGACGCACCTCTCCACCAGCTCTACCAGATTGTCAGTAGCCACCTCAATGCACCCTGCTCTTGTGCACTGCTGCCGCACTGCCCCACCAGTAGCCGCTGCTACTGATGGTAATAATGATGGTGGCGCTGGCGTGGGGTGGGTGATGACGACTCGGGCAAGGAGGCGGCGAGCAGAGGAGGCGACAGAGGGCCAGTCGTCAGAGGCGAGGAGGAGCAGGCACTCCTGCACACGATCGCGTAGCACAATGAGGTTTCATGGGGAACAATGAAACGCACAGAAGGGTTTATAAAGAGGGGCAATGAAGGTAGAATGGTGCACCTGTAGGAATTACTCCTCTCCCCCACCCAAAGTACTGGCGGGCAGCGGATGTGTGAGAGAGACATTTTTGGAAAGCAAGGAGGAGGAGAAGCAAGGAGGAGGAGAAGCAAGGAGGAGGAGAAGCAAGGAGGAGGAGAAGCAAGGAGGAGGAGAAGCAAGGAGGAGGAGAAGCAAGGAGGAGGAGAAGCAAGCAGGAGGAGAAGCAAGCAGGAGGAGAAGCAAGGAGGAGGAGAAGCAAGGAGGAGGAGAAGCAAGGAGGAGGAGAGGCGAGTGCAGCGACGGGTGCGAGATGACGCATGTGCTGGTGTTGGTGCTGCTCACCACAGCTCTTCCCAAACAGCGACAGGATGGACAGACAGAGGGCACAGAAACTTAGGGACTCACGAGCAGCAGAGGGCGGGAGGCGGAGAGGGAGTAGGAGCAGCGCTGTAGCAGCTCCCCCAGCAGGTCGGATAGGGCACAGCGGACCTTGGGGGCGGGGAAGTGCAGCAGCTGTGGGGGGGGCGGGGGGAGGAAGAAAAGAGGGAACCGGGGGAGGTGTGATGTCCAAGTTGGGGAGGCAGTGGGAAGCGCGAGGAAGGGGGAGGAGTATGAGCGTGGTGGGTGGTTGCAGAGCGAGGAAGGGGGAGGAGTATGAGCGTGGTGGGTGGTTGCAGAGCGAGGACGGAATTCTGCAGGCCAAGCGACTTTTGAGACGTCTCAAAAGAGGACGGAATTCTGCAGGCCAAGCGACTTTTGAGACGTCTCAAAAGAGGACGGAATTCTGCAGGCCAAGCGACTTTTGAGACGTCTCAAAAGAGGACGGAATTCTGCAGGCCAAGCGACTTTTGAGACGTCTCAAAAGAGGACGGAATTCTGCAGGCCAAGCGGACCAACGCTGCAGGTGCGTGTGGGGGAGGCGAGGTGAGCGCTGGTCAGGCGAGGAATGGAGGACGGCAGCAGCACGGTGCGGTGAGAACTCACCTTGGGAAGCACTTTCTGCAGCAGCACGAGCACCTTGGCGCCTGTCTCCCTGTGCCATGCCTCGTCCCTCTCCACCCTCAGCACCACCATCCCTCTCCCCACCCCGCCTCCTGCCCCCCTCGCTCCGCCGTCTCCTCCCCTGCCACCCTCCCCTGCACCTCTTGCCCCCCCACGCCCCATACCCGTTCCCACGTGTGCCCGTGGGGTATTTCTCTCTTCTTCATGCCGCCTCCTCACACTCACTTCCCTCAGAATCACCGCGCCTTCCCTCGTCCCTGCTGTGCCGCTCGCCTTGTCGCCCTGCAGCTCCCCTGCTGACATCACCGGCTCTCCCAACAAATCCTCCTCTCCTTCCCCACCTCCCTTACTCCCCTCCCCTTTCCGCCCCTCCATGCGACCCACCATTTGCTGCAGCATACTCAAAGCTCTCTCCTCCTCTGTCTCCCCACTCTCACTCCCCTCCTCACTCTCCTCCCTCTTCTCCTCCCGTCCCACTCCCCTTCCACCACTCCTCTTTACCCCTCCCACCTTCCCTTCCCGTCCTCTTTGCTGCTGCCCTTTATCCTCGTTATAAGAAACCCTTCCATGCCCATCCTCGTTACAAGCATCCCCCATGACCAGCACTAGAGCCTGCGACAGCCCAAGCAGCGCCTCGGCCACTGCTGAGGGGTCCGCTGCAGCGCCACGTGTCAGCGGCTCATTGGAGGGCGGGGAGAAGGGGGAGAGGGCGGCGCGGGAGAGGCCACTGAGGATCCCCGGAAGGAAGAAGGCGAGCGCATCGGGTGTGTGCGCCTGAGAATGTGATGGGCGGGGTGGTGGTGGAAGGAGAGGGATTAGAGGGAATGGGGCGCGGAAAAGGGAAGGGAGCAGTGCAGAATAGGGGATAAGAGAAGGGCGACTATTCAGGTGTGTGCGTGTGCAAAAGCGGAAAACGATGGAACAGGAACATGGAAACGATGGAACAGGAACATGGAAACGTCAGGAGACGACGGCATTGATTTAGCACAGCCATGAACACAGTCGAGGACGGAACCATGGGCAGGCCTTGCCACGCGCAATGCAAGCATGCATGCATGCCGGCTGTTGTGTCGGAATGCCCCCCCCACGGCTCACCGCAGCCACGAGCAGGTGCACGGCCCGCAGTGCCTCCACTCGCACCACCTGGCTGCCCCTCGTGCCCAGCCGAGCCTCCGCCTCAGCTGCCTGTGTGGCCGGGCATGTGGGAAAACGGAGAGGGACATGCACAAACAGCAGGCACGTTAGTGGCACTCAGCTGTTGAACCCAGCAGCCAGCACGAAGCGATACAGGGAGCCGCGTTGCAGCAGAAGAGATGGAAGGAGCCGCATTATTAGTCCTTTGATACAGTGCATGGCGATCGCACTAAAGAGAAACAGCATCAGTTGAGCAACACCACCATGTACGCATTTTACCTTGAAAGAAAGGCAGTGCCCCTGGGTGGCGTACTCACAGAGAGCATGTTAGAGAGTAGGTGACCCAGCAAAGGCGCTGCCTCCTGCTCCTGTAACACACCAGCCACACACTTGCTGCTCGCATTGCTATCACTGCTATTGCTGGTGCTGGTGCTGCTGGTGCTTCTGGTGTTGTGGCCGCTGGTGGTTGTGCTCTTGCCATCACTGCTGCCAGCAGCAGCAGCAGCGCAGCAGCAGGAGGAGGGCGAGCAGCGTGGGAGGTGGGAGAGGAGGGCGGAGAGGCAGCGCAGTGCCAACAGCCGAGCCTCCTCTGACTGTGCAATGCCCGCCATGCTTGCAAGCGCTGCCGATGCTGACGGTGGGAGTCCCGCTGATGGAATTACCGCTCCTGATGATGGGCTGACAGTAGCGCGATCAGGAACGCTTGGGTTAGTATTCGAGGTGGGAGGTGGTTGGGGAGTGGGGGTGGTGGCAGAGGCGAGGAAGCGGAGGAGGGAGGCGGCCTGGTCGTGCGATCGCACGGAGCAGCGGGTCAGCGCCACGTGCATGCAGCTGAGCGCTGCTTCCACCACTCGCTGCCTGCCACATGGCACAATTCCAGAAACACTCTCGTTCTCTGTGCTGCTGGGCTTAGCCTCGCCTGGTGCAGCTGCAGCAGGCGGCTTGGAAGGGGCAGCGGTGGGACTCACGAGAGAGAGGGAGGTGGGTGCGGAGGAGGGAATGGAGGTAGGGGCAGGTGGAGACAGCACAAGCAAGAGTGGGAACAGGAGAAACCTGGTGACGGGGAGGGAGAGAATCGTGGAGGAAAGTTATGGGAAAAAAAGAGAGGGATAAGTGGAGTGAGTGATGAGTGGGAAAAGGCGTGATGGGAAGTGAAGTGTGCTTTGCTGTTGTGGGGAGGGAGGGAAGGAAACGCGACATAGGTTGGTGCTTGTGGGTGCGAATATGCGAGGTCGTTTCAATCATATGTTAGAAGCAACAAGCTAGCAATCCACTAGCTCTGGAACTTCACTCACTCGAGGCATGCTTGAAGCCCCCCCACTGGCACGTCCTTGCACCCAATCGCCTCCTCCAATCGCTTGATGACACGTGGCAGCTGCTGGTGGTCCCCCCGCGCATCCACCACAGCCATGCAGAGCGGGTGCACACAGGCGAATGCTGCTTGCGCCTCGTCCGTGGGGGTTGCAGCAGGTGTGGCGTGCGAGGCTTGGGGCGCATGAGAGGGCGATGGAACAGGTGCATCAACTCCAGCAGCAGCATCAGCAGCAGCAGCAGCCGCACCATTGCTGTGAATACGACCACGACTGTCCCCACTGGCACGGCTGGCACGCTCACCACCTCCTTCCTTCCACGTTCCCTCCACCACACTCTCACCCACCACACCATTACCCTTCTCCTTCCCTGTCCTGCCCTCCCCACCCAGCAGAAACCCCCGTTTGAAACCCCCACCTCTCAGCCTCCCCTTGGCACCACTCCGTGAGCCCAGCTGAGCCTTCCCCCGCTGCACCCTCCCCTGCTCCACTCGTTGAGCCCCCACCGCCCCTCCACTCTTCTCCTGCACACCACCAGCCAGCACTGCCCTTGGTGTTGTTTCAAGCAGTGCTGGAAACGCTGCTTCAGGTGGTGTTGGGGACAACTGGGCGCGGTCACGGGTGCAAGCGAGGGGGATTGTGTGGCTGCCCTCCCCACGTGCGGGTTGAGGCCTCTCACGAGCGCCAGAGCCTGTGGCAAAAGAGCATGCGCCTTCAAATGAGAAGTCAGAGCGGGTGCTCTTGCTGCTATTGCTGGTCCCAGTGGTAACAATAACACTGTTGCAGGCGCTGGTACCTCTATCCGGCTCTGTTACCTCATTTGCACTCGACACAAACCCCTCCCCCAACGTCAACCCCTGCAGCTCCTCCTGCAGCCCCTCCAACTCATCAAAGAACGTCCTCTCTTCCTCCTCCTCTCCTCCCCTCGCACTCTCCCCATCCTCCCTTGCCGCTCCCCTCCCCCCATCTCTCGCCTCGCCCTTGACGCCCCCTTGCGCCCACTCAGAGTCCGCTTCCCCGGCCTCTCTATCCCCGCCTCGACCCCATCGGGCCACCAGCTCTCGCTCCAACTCCTTCGCCTCGTCAAAGAACGTCCCACCCTCATCTCCCCGCCCTGAACCTCCCACGCCTTCGCTCCCTAGGTGACCAGTCAGGCTTCCGCTATTGTCACTCTCTTTTGAGTGTAAGGGGCTGGTGGGAGAAACGGCAGGTGTGATTGTATTGGCTGTGGGCTCCCCAGCAGGAGCAATGGCAGGCAGAGTAGCTGCATCGGTGGTGGCAGCGGTCATACCGGAAGGATCCGCAAGAGCAAGAGCAGCAGGAGCTGGAGAAGCATCAGGAGCAGCCACATCAGCAGTAGCAGCAGCAGTGGTCGCAGAAACAGCAATTGCGGGGGAGAAGGGGTCCTCGTCCAGTTGCCTGGCAGCCTTGGCTACCATCTGCTTCAGTCGCTCATCCGCATCCGCCACCTCATCCACCTCCCCCGCCAGCTCAGCATGACCCCTCGCCAGCTCATCAACCACATCCGTACCACCCACATCATCACCCTCACCTATCCCCATCCACCTTCCTGCACCATCTCCCTGCAGCACCCGCTCAACCTCGTCTCTATACTCGCCAACCCCCTGCTGCCCCTGCAAGTGGCCCCACTCCCTGCTCCGCTGCTGCTTCTGCTGCGCCAGCAACACGCGTTGGCTCTGCTGCTCCAGAGCCGCCAGAAGCCGCTTCACCTCCTCCGCACTCCAGCACGCCCCACCAGCAGCAGCAGCACCAGTGGTAGGCGCGGCACTGGCGAATGCCCCACCCGCAGTGCTGTTCCTGCCTCTGGACCGCCTTGCTGCATTGTCAGCAGCGGACGCAGCACTTTCACTGGCAGGCCCAGCAGGTTCAGCAGCTTGAGCAAGCTCAAATTCAGCAGAAGCAGCTCCTGGAGGGAATGCTGACGCACCATGAGACCACGTGCTGTCAAAACACATTCCCATTCCCAGTCCCATCCCTCCTTCCCATACCTCGCTTCTCTCCTCCTCCACCTCCCCATCGCCCTCGTTCATCTCACCCACCCAGCTCCCCACCACCTCGTCATCACACCCCGCACCTTCGGTATCGTCAAACGTCCATGCATCCCCCTCAATAGAATCACCCGCGTTTTTGTCACACTGTTCTCTCCGCAAATCCCCCACTGCAGCGTGCGAATCACCCCAACGGAGTCCACCCTCCCATGCACTTCCCTCCACGGGCAGGGGATTTGACCAAATATTCTCGCCTTCCATTACAACCGGCGAGCAAGCACTCTTTGCCTCCTGCACCTCGTTATGATCACCCTTGCTCTGTGAAGCTGTGCTTGCGGTGGTTCTGTTGAAACTGCTCATGTCTGTTACTCCGGAAGCTTCCTGGGTCCCATGCTCAGAGAACCAGTCTTGGTCTTCCGAGAACTGCAGCTCGGAATTCGTTTCGGTCGACAGGCTAATCCACTCCTTCCATTCCTCCTCCTCCCCCTCTCTTCTGACCTTCCCTCGCGCTTCAGCTCTCTCTATTTTCTGGTCAGGCAACGATCCTATAGGAATCGGTTCCGAGCCTGAAAGGAGGAAGCCTCGGCGGAATCCGGACGAGCCGAACTGCTCTGAAACGGTTCGCGGCGCAGATCGTGCTAAGGGACCATCGATCGCCTGAGAAGATTCGATGTCTCCCGGACTGCCTGCACGAAAGTCAGTACGCTGGTTTTGAGAATGTTGCTCTCGGCTGTGCTCCTGCTCATGGTGTCGAACATGCTCCCGGTCGCACTCTTGGGTAGGTTTGGGGGAACACTCGGAGGCACGAGCGGCAGGAACTGGTTCGAGTGAGGGAAGCCAAGGCAAGCCGTCGATCTCTTCGATCTTGAACTCGTCGGGCGATAATTCAGCGGTGTGGAGCGCGGGAATCGACAGCTCCGCTTCGCTCAACGGACCTAAGCTGCTGATCGCTTCGAAGATGGAAGTTTCATCGTCGGCCATGGCAGGAGAAGAACTGAAAGAAACTGAGAGGAATCGAGAATGAACGAGAACTGAAATTTGAGCCCGATCGCACCTTGGCTTCGTGCTACTTCCAGACACGGTCTAGACTAACGACAAGCCGACAGCCCTGGGCTTTGTTGGCTCTCATCCTTACGCGTGTGCTGCCGGATCGCAACATATGATAATTCTCCAAGGATGCGTCAGCATCAAGAACTTGGTTGGGATAAGGCGGAAGGGGAAAGGAGGGGGTTGGGGTGCGGGGGAGCAGGAGGAATAGTTTGGGAAAAGGTGGGGCGTTACCAGCATATTTTCGCCAGAGTGACGAAGGCGTTCTCAGAGCAGATAACAAGTTTGGAGTTGGGTTTCGCAGCTACAGTCGCAGCTGCAGGTCTCTTCTCCACCTCTGCCTACACCACCCAGCCAACGCCATTTTTTGGTTCAGCGAATCTTTCTTTCCCCCATCACTCGAAAGTTTCCATCCGACTCGTTTCTTCTCACCACGCATTTCTGCTCCTTGCATCTGGCTTCTTCTTTCATATTCCTTCCACCGCGTCGACCTTTGGTCAGGCCGTTCGTGTTGGCGCATTTTACGCTCCCAGAAAAGTGGTTGCTGGTTTTGATCTGAGTCTTGGCAAGCTCTTTCGTGGCTACTTTCCGCCGGGCTTCTTACCGTCTAACCCTAGTCAGGATAGTCCCGACATGGATTTTTTCGCGGGAAAGGCTGTTGAGAAGCAGGTTAACGGCGTTGGAGAAGCAGTCAATGTGAGTGCGGGGTAATGCTATATTCGAGTTACCACAGATACATAAGCTTTGCATTTCCTTATGTCCAGCCGGGGCGTGTTCTCTTTGATTCTGTATAAAGAGTATCAGCATTGCCTTCATGAAACGGTCGTTGGATCATTGAGCAATTCCACGTGTGTTGCTGCGTGTTCCCGTGCTCTCTGTGTTTCCAATCTCGTTTGTCACAGTCGATGGTCAATGATGCATCAGAAGCCGTCTCCAACTGGTGGGAAGGCCTCATGGGTACGAATAGCAGTGGAATTACTTGCTGAATCGAAGTGCCCGCGACTATGGATGATATGTTTGTTTCTTGATCTGCTTTTCTTCTGACATCCACCTTCGTATACCATCAAATCCTTTCCTTTTTTCCCCGTGTCTCCATGTACGTATCCTCATGCTGCCATTCGTTCCATTCCAGGCAAAGTGCAGAAGCCCCTGCCAGAGATCCTGGAGCAGTACGAGTTCCCTGTGGGAATTTTCCCAAAGAACCATGTCAAGTACGTCCTGAAGCTTACTGACTCCAGCAAACCCGAATCAGGGGGCGTCCTGGAGGTACATTTCACAGGGGGAATGGAAGTCAAGCTCAGTGACGGGACGGTTCTGAAGTATGCAAAGAAGACTGTGGTCCGGATTACTCCCAAGGAAATGGCAGGAGTTGTGGGTTTGAAGCTGAAGGGCATCACAGGGTACACTGAGATTAGTGCAGTCTCTGTTGACACTGTCAAGGAGAATGTGCATTTGCAAACACGGGTGCGCAAGACTAAGCCGCTGCACCTCTTCAAGAGCGCAAGGCAGGGCGTTGAGGTACTTGATGTTAGCTGAAGTGCATCTGCGAATTGATCTAAGGTTATGTCATGAATATGTTCGTGCAGTTTGATCGAATGGCATTGAACTCGTGTAAGTGAACTGGTGTAAGGGAACTAGAGGTTTGATCATATACCGTAGGTCCGTTTCTTTTCTAGCTTCCTGTTTAGGAATCTGCACTAGAAACATATGACCAGCCTAGATACACTACCGTCTAGCTTGAGAAAACACTTACTGTAACAAGGAAAAACCATTTTTTACAAGATAAGCACATCACGGTGCCTACAGGTCATTGCAGGTGGCACGGATAAACAGGAATCTGGCTTGGTTAAGGTCCGCCCTCCTATCCAAAGTTGAGGAAGCGGGCTCTGAACAGCAGATACAAGTAGTACTACGGTACATACCATTGGCCTGATGGCTAGTCAAAGTTGATCCCGAATATCCGGACTTTGTCAAGAGCTGGAAGCTTGGCAATGACAAGTGCAAACACAAGCACTGTGTTGATGACGAAGAAAAGCTCAGAGTTGGGATCATGCCGCATGTAAAAGGATGTCACCAGGTATCTGAAAGGGTAAAAAGTAAGACGATTGAGCACATACGGAGATTTACACACGACTGAGAGCCTTCGAGGTTACCAACAGAGCAAAAGTTGAAATGTTTCCATGACACTTACAATAGGACAGGGACCATGGTCAGAAACTTGCGGTTGGGAGTGAGCTGCCTACGGCCATCAATCTGCTCCCACCAGGTGAGCTTATCGTACAATCCCTGGTCTTCGGCGAAGGGCGAACCTTTCTTCCAGTGGAAAAGGTAGAAGGTCACCTGCACAGGAATAGGCACATCCGACTCTTCAATAATGATACGCAAAATACAGCCTTTAAGTCGCCAGAAAGTCTATAAAATCACTCCTTGAAACCTACTTCTCTAGTGTTCTTTTGCCCACGACAAATACTACGCTCACTTACCACGAAATGGATAATATTGACAGCGGCGCAAGCAGAAGCCACACTGCACTGAAAGATGATGAGGATTAAGAGCCACACTAATACGACAATGATTAAGTATGTCGTCCAGACTCCAGGATACGAAAACCACGATGTATTCTTATTGACGTCAATAGGTGGAGCAGTCGGAACTAGGAACGGTGAATGGTATTGAGAAGCTGGGCTTCTCATAGGGCTTGAGGTCTGCGTCCTTGCTTTTATGAGACTTTTGCGGGTAGGACTGTCACACGCATCGGCACTCGCGTCAATCTCATCTGGGACGGATTCTACTCTCCACAAAGGCATAGCGCCTCGATGCCAACAACCGACGAACTTGCGAGTCGCTAATTACAACCGTGCCTAAGTCGAATCCAGAATCCAGAATCAAGATGGTGCGCACACACCAAGGTCAGCCAGGGCGAGGTAGACTCAGGAATGAAGGGAAAAAGGCTTCACCCTGGTGACTGACTTGGTGGCCCAACAGGGGGTACTTGTGTGGGTGGAACAGGGGAGTGGGAGGCTTGCATTGTTTCTTGGGTTCCTCTGGAATAGCATATTCAATATGGTACACTTCACTATTCATTCAGAAACGCCATTCAGCATTCTGCGCATTATAAGTAATTAATCAGTACGGGCCAATGTAATTGCTGGTTTGCCTTGTATGGTTGAATAGAATAGCCCATTATGTAGTCTCCTCCAAAAGATATATATTCAATTATATTTCATATACCTCAAGGGATATCTGTAATATTCCCTACTTCACTTTCCCCTCTACTATGAAATACATTTGCATAGATTTAACGTTCCGTAATAGACACATAAGACGTTGCGATTTTTTCGCTGTAAGGTAATTCGGTAAAATCTGTTGACGCTCAGTTTACATAACAATGTGCTGTATCGGCACATTTCTACTGAGGCATGTCAGGCTTCAACGATGCGGGCGGTTCGAAAGTTTCGCGGTGCGGTTTCACTCTGCCCGCCAGTCACTACGGTCAATTATTTGGGCGACGAAACCATTCAATTACACACGGTCCTCACCAGTTTCAATACCACCAATTTCACACCCCTGAGCAATCCTTTCTGGTTTACCCGAAATCGGGGGTCATTCAGAAAGCCAAGGCTTGAAGTATGAAAATGTTCGAGACTGCCCTCACGAGTCAGCAGGACAACAAACAACTTGTTTGCAGCGGAAGATCCAGATTATGCGCTGCAGCCACTGAATACGAATTTAACAAGATCGACACTAAACGATGTCGTGAGTAGCCTTTGGTTCCTGAATGTTTGATCCCTAAAGCCAAAAACGGTCAAGGGTGATTTGTGGAAAACTCGGTGTACTGTGCCCAGAAACCGACCAACAGGAAGGCAAGCATGACAAACCAAAGCACGAAGCACCACCATCATCATCCATGCTAGCACATCCATCCTCCCTCCCACATTTTTGGGCCAACTGACAGATTCGAGGTGCACTGAGCAACTTCGGGGGGGTACAGGATATGTCTAGACGCTCAAGCCCACCTCCATTGCCTGTGCCCTGGACGTCGTGCCGCCGTCTCAGCGGGCACGCTCAACCAGCGTGTATGTGTTGCACCTGCGGAACACCCGAGACCATTGTAGCCGTTGCCAGTGAGGCTGGTAGCCTACTAGGCGATGGTATGTTCAGGACAGGACCATGCGACCGCTGAAAGTATCCAGGCTCTACGAGTTGGGAAGCGCGAAGGGATTAGAGTGATTAATTTCGACATGGGTTTCTCTTTGGCGGCCATTAGCCAGGTTTTATGTTTAGAACTCGCAGGATTCTCAATCGGTAGCCTGTAGTACTCGTCATCAGAGCATTTACTTGATATAGTCAGCCCAAAACTAGATACTACTAGTCGCGTGTGACCATCGCCATTGAGCATTCTAGAATTTACGAAAGTTCTCAACACGATGAAACACGGCAGTCATCAGCGGCTTCTCAGGCCAATTCCATTGTCCCGCACGGCCGGGAAACAGAAAGGCTCGATTCTCTTTGAGTTAAGCGATTTAGTGTTTCGATGCAGTCCGTTCGTTCTTCTAGTCATCCTAGTCGCCTTGGTCGTTATGAGATCCCAGCACCACTCCACTCAACAGGTGCAACCGGTGGTGGAAATCATTAGGTCACCGAACGAGGCTGCGCACAGCGCATACGGCGTGGATAGCGACAGCTTGCTCGTGAGCAATCACGCTGACGCCACTGTTCTCGCAGAGGTAAGCGCCGTGTGGTAACAGCCTGTACAACAGAGTGCCATAACGGAAAACGTTCACAAATTTAGTTGGGAGTTTTCTCGCGGTATTTTAAGAGCGCATGTTAAGTGATGCGCACCGCGCGTGAGGAGATTTGTCGTTCAAGTCGCCAGCAATGATGTTCATGTTTCACCTATTTTAATGTTCCTGCGGTGCTCGTCTCAACATCTTTTCCCTTTGTGATCGCAGGGTGACCTCTCGAGTCGTCTGTATTCAGTGTGCGCGGCGTATGCCTTCGCCTCGCTCACGCAAACACCGACCGTTGCGCTGTGGCCCTCGGACGCACACATGCCGCATGTACGCTTCCGCCATCTCTTCTCGACTCGTCATAGCGAAGACTACAGTACCGCGGACAGCGCAGACGGCGCAAAAAGTACGGAAGATTTGAGGAGGAACGGGTGGAGGTACCTGCGCGTGAAGGATTCGGCCATCGCGAGCGAGGATGTGAAGAAAGGGCTCAACTCCAACCGTCGCACGGTAACCACCTGAACCGTCGCACGCCTGTCACAAAATACCTAGTATCGGTCTCTCAGCGCATGCATTGCCACCTGGTTTGCACGCGTCAACCCTTGTTTTTGTTCATCTCCCTTTTTCTGCCACGGGCAAGTGCTCCGTTCTTTCGAATCAACTCAGCGCCTCTTCACTGCTCTCAGTCCTTGTTCTTCGACATATCCTTCTTTTTTCTGCCACGCTCAGGTGTTCCTTACTCCGTGCGAGTCCGCCGAACAGCAGCAGCAGCAGCAGCCACAAGGCAACGAGGAGACAACAAATGGTGGAGAGGAGGGGAAGGGAGCGCAGGGAGGAAACGAGCAAGCGGAGGTTGCTCCGTTTGCGCTCTATATGCCACCAGAAGGGGCTGGGACAAAGGTAGCAGGTGAGGGGCGGTCAGGAGCAGCAGCAGCGGGAGAGACGGCTGTGGGTGCGACAGCGACAGGGGAGGAGATAGCGCAAATTGCAGTGGCGCGGTGCGAGTACGAGCGAGAGGTGGATCGGTGCTTGGCGTCGCTACAGCCGTCCGCTGACGTGGCGAGGCTGGTGGCGAAGGAGGAGTTGGAGGCGGTGGAGGCGACTGTAGCAGTGCACCTGGACGTGAGTGCGGGCGAGGGGGAGGAGGGGAGAGAGGGGGAGAGAGGGGGGGAGAGGGGGAGAGGAAGGAAAGTGGGAGCTTCTGTACGTGTGTGGGAGTGGGAGAGGAAGGGAGGGAAGAAGGGGTATGAAGGAGGAATGGGAATGCGAAGGATGTAAATGCAGGTCTGTAGCGCTGAACGGGCTTGTCTCCCTCAGATCTTCTCAGGTGAGCTTGCGTCGCACTTTCAGAAGCTCACATATGCTGCGCTTGTCTCCCCTCCCCGCGCGTCAGGACCTTGCTCCCCCCGGTTGTTCCGGCTGCGCCGCCGCTAAATCAGACGCCTCCGCCGCCCTCTGCGCCATGCGCCGCATCGCCATGGAGTCTCTCAAAGACCCCTCGCTGCGCTTCGTCCTCGCCTCCCCCTCCCCCCCGCGCGCCGCCACTGTGACCGCGTATTTCGACCCCCTGCGCGCGCCCCTGCTGCTCCGCGCGGGAGAGGAGCGGCGGAAAAAGTGCGCGTTTGAGCATATGAGGGGAGCAGAGGGGGAAGGGCAGGGGGGTGCGGGAGGCGGAAGCGGAAGAGGGAGGCGGTTGAACGAGGAAGGCAGCGGCGGCGCAGTTGAAGGGCCAAGGTTTGCGAGAGCGGAGAGGGATCCGATTCTGCTGTGCCATCAGTTACGGGTGTCGGAGCTCTTTACCCTCAGCCGCGCTCAGGGCTTCCTCCCCATCAACTCGTCCTCGACAGAAGCGCGTTTCGTTTCAGCACAAGGGAGGGCTCGGTCGGCAGAGTTTGAGGTGGCGCGGTCAGTGTGCGAGTCGGATGAGGTGCTCCCCATTCCGCAGCAGAAGTGGGCCAAGTTCACCTTCCTCGAAGGTAGGCCCAGCTGACGCTTCACCTTTAGGCGCTTTCCCTTCTCTCCCCTAAGCCACCCCTTTTCATGCTGCCCCCCATGCAAGCAGAGAATCTGGGAATGGCCTACTGCGGTATTCCCGAGGTGGCCTCCACAACGTGGCTGCAGTGGATTCGCGCTCAGAGCGGCCTGCCTTACGCGGACAAGGAGCCGCTTATAAGGGAGACGGGGCTGCACCGAATGTCAGCCAACTTCACAGAGAAGGAAGCGGTGAGTGTGGCACGGCGTGAAGGATGATGGATCGCGGGGCTGTACCATTAGTCTAACAATCAAAGAATGAGAGGCGGTTAGTGTGGCGGGGAGGAAGGCCCTGATTATGGAACTGTATGGGACGGCGTAATGGCCCTGATTATGGAACTGTATGGGACGGCGTAATGGCCCTGCAAGGAAGCACGTCGCACAGCATGGCAGGGTATGTAGTGGTACTAATCAAGCCCCGGATAGCTCATGCATCCCCCCGCCTACATTCTCACCTCCTCCCATGCTCACCCCTTCCCAAGCTCACCTCCCCCCCGTGCTCATCTCCTCCCATTTTTACCTCCTCCCATTTTCACCTCCTTCCATTTTCACCTCCTTCCATTTTCACCTCCTCCCATTTTCACCTCCTCGCATTTTCACCTCCACACATTTTCACCTCCTCCCATGCTACCTCCTCCCATTCTCACCGACCTTATTTTCTCCTTCTGTTCCTTCCCCCACACCCACCCCCCTTCTCTCCTCTCCTCCTGCCATCCTCTCGTCCACCAGGTGCGGCTGCTCTTGCGTCCGGGCATGTTCCGCTTCACGTTTGTGCGCAACCCCTTTACACGAGCCCTCTCCGCCTACCTCTCCAAGCTCGCCTACACCTCCTCCATCACCGCCTCTCGACGTGGCTCCACGCAGTCGCCCAGGCAGCTCTGGGCCAAGGTGCGTGCTCCTCCGGTCCTCCTGTGCTTTCTCTCCAACCCCCTCTCCTCTCCCGTGTATCTCTCCAGTCGCTTGCACCTCCTCCATCACCGCCTCGCGCCGTGGCTTCACACAGTCGCCAGGCACCTCTGGGCCAAGGTGCGTGTTCTTCCATTTCCTCTTTGTGAGGACCCTCGCACGTGCTCTCCCTGCTTGCTTCATGACGAACGAGCTACTATCCACCCCTCTTTCCCCTCCCACTCCACCCCATCCCTCACCACGCATCCTTTCTCCTGTGTGGTAGCAGTACGAGGCAGTGAGGGCGTTCGAATCGATATTGACCTTTCCTCATCCCCCCTCACCCCCCCACCCCCCACCAGGCGTTTTTCCGCCACGTGTGGCAGCAGTACGAGGAGGTGAGGGCGCCAGAGGGTCTGGTGACCTACCGTGCATTCCTGAGGCTGGTGGGCGCACTCATGCAGGACCACAGGGCCACCATGAACCGCCACCTCTCCCCCCAGGTAGGCCGTCTTATTGCCCTGTGCGGATGAGTTGTTGTGTGTCGGTTAGTGCGTTGCATTCAGTCTGTTTCTGTGTAGGCGCTGGAGCAGGGGCAGGGGCACAGGGTGACCATGAACCGCCCGTCATCTGGCTCGTCAGGTGGGTGCAGAGGCACATGGGGGTGAAACGGTGCACATGCAGGGGTATGTTTGAACTCACACACACCTCGCCCCTTGGATGTGGCATTTTTGCCATCCAGCTTTTCTTCTTGGCAGTGAAATCAAGTGCCATGTAGTGCCTTGGTGTGGCAATCTGCCCAATGCTTTTCATTACATTCACCTATCTCCAATGGATAATATCCATTCCTGATCGCCCCTGGCACACGCGTCAGGTGGACATCTGCAATCTGAACGGAATCAAGTACGACTATGTGGGGCGCTTTGAGCACTTCAAGCCGGAAGCGGAGAGAATGGCGGCTGAGTTTGGGGGGAAGCACCTGGACGTGTTTGAAATCGACCCCAGCTCACATGTTGTGACCAACAGGAGTGTTGTGAAGTACTACAATGAGGTCAGTGCTTTGCGCTCCGTTTGTATGTCGTCTCCCTGCACTTTCATGTGCTGTTGCAGTGACCCACCAATCCACAAACGGTTGTGCGTGTGTGTGTCTCGTTTGTGGAATTTGCAGGAGGCTTCTAAGCTACTTATGCGGGTCTACAAAATGGACTTCCATATCCCTCTAAACAATATTTCTTATTGGCCACCTAAAGCCCTTGAGAAGCCTAGGAACACGTCTCTTGCATAAGAGCCTTGAGTTGAGCAGCTTAGGAATGTGTCTCTTGTACAAGCAATGTTCCTTGCCATTGGTGTAGATACTGCACCCATTCAAAGAATGGATGGGATGGGGCTGTTATATTGTTATTCCACCTTTACTAGCTGCTGCACTATCCCCAACGTGCAGTCCCAACCAGGGCCTCAGATTGGTTTTGGGCTAGTCTGAAAGATCAGAGTTGGCTCAAAAAAATATGCTGAAAATCAGACAAATTAGCCATTTTATGCCATTTTACACTATAAATATCACAGTTTTTCCTGTTCTTTTCCAAAAAATGGCTGAAAAATCAGCCCTGGTTCTTAAAACCAGTCTGAAATCTCAGCCTTTTTTTGCTGAAATCTGAGGCCCTGGTCCCAACGTCAGCCCCAGTGTGAGTAGACCCAACTGTGTCATTGCCAAAGACATAGGGTAGTGTAGCCTTTCATCAACTGGAAGCTCCATTTCCTACAAATGGCGAAATACAGGCTTTGAACCTGACGTGAATCGAACACGCAACCTTCTGATCTGGAGTCAGACGCGCTACCATTGCGCCACAGATCCGTGACAATCTTTACGCAATAAATTCTTTATGTTTTTACGTAAGTCGTTCTCGTTTCGCAAGAACTTCCCGAGTTCACTATCATGATGAAGACTGCCAAGGATGAAGCGTTGCCGTTTGGTCACTATCTGTACGTGCATACCGCCCACTCATGCCGTTCCTTCCTCTTGCACTTCCCTTCCCTTTCCATCCCTTCTTCGCCCAACCCGTTACCTCCCCTCTTCCCCGTCCTCTCCCGTGCTCCAGCTGCCTCGCCTGCGGGGCGGACCTCGGCCTGTCAACGTCCGCCGTCTTCCCGCCTGCCGTCCGCTTCGACGCCGGGAATCGCGGCTCCATATCCTTCGAGCGAAGCAGCGTCGATGCGAAGCAGCTCGCTATAGTCACAAACATGGAGAGCCGCTGGGGGCCGTTCTTTGAGAGCACCAACTCGTTCGGAATTCACCGCGACCGCGCCGTCATGCGCTGCCGAGCCTGCCATGCCAGGCTCGGTACGGTCATGGACGATGGTCCGGGCGTGGGTAGGATGCACTCTGGGTTCGGCCCGAGCCAGTTTTCAGAACGAGTGGGACGGTATAGGGTTTGGCGCAAGGCAGTAATGTTCCAGGAAGGGGCGTGTGGGGAGGAAGATGGGGTGGTGGAGGGAAAGGGTGCAGTGAAGGGTTGAGAGACACAGAGTTGGGAGGTGGGTTAGATGCATGGGTGTGTATGGGGATGGGGATGGTGTGGATGTAGATGTTGATGGGATGGGCTTGGAGGGTGAGTCACAATGCATCACACAGTACGTGCGAGTGTAAGGCACACCTCGGTGCGGCCATGAAGACTCATGACTCATGTGAGAGTGAGACTACATGACCAGCCATGCCATTCTTCGGGCTTGTGCTCACCTGTCTAAATGCTTGTTATGTTTATGTATGTAAGGTACATAGGTGGCATATGGTGCGTTGCTTCGGGAAGTCCAGTAAGGCATGGTTGCTTGGAGTTTCTTGTTGGCTATGAGCAGTGCTTTATATTGAATATTTTGTGATTACACAATGCTCAAGGTGAGCTGCCATAACATCCTAACGACTTTAATACATGTATCAAATACATTACTGCCCCAGATGCTTGCGCATCCAGCGAATAAAAACTCCTAGTGACAGCGTACATACAAAACAATAATTCAAATTATGTGTCACAGTATCGTGCAACAACCCTCCCCCGTGTCACCACTGCTTTTACCATCTGCACCTGACCCAATCTCTGCTTGGATCTTCTCCAGCCGAGCCACAACCTCTGCAAACTCGGGCCGCACTGTCTCATCGCGGTCCCAGCACTCTGCCATCAGCTTTGCCAGCTCTGGGTTGCATGAAGGGGGGGTGTCTGGTCGTTGGTTCTGTGGAGTGGGGGGAGGTGGGGGATGGATGGGGAGGATGCAGAGGTTGCGGATCTCAGGTGTCTCAAGCCTACGGTTGCAAGGTCTAATCGGGCTGCCTTGTCTTTGGGACAGCAGCCTGGCATCAGCAGACCAAACCTGGGTTGCATGAGGCGGGATCCTACTGGTAGCTTCTCTTCTAGTGGTCACCAAAGCTGCGCGGCTAGTTGACGCGGTGAGCCACTTGCATCTACAGCAGGTGCCACGCACCTTGTGCATGACGTTGTTAGATGTTGGAGGAAGGTGAGGCCCTTGAAGGGGTGAGCCGTTTGGCTCTCCACACCATATGTTTCGTTTGTTAGATGCATGCTGGATTGAATCCCCCAGTCTCTCGCACCTTGTGAACGACGTTGTAGGCGAGTTGGATGAAGGTGAGGCCCTTGAAGGGCAGCTCGCACGTCACCAGCTCCCACAGCACGATGCCATAGCTGTACACATCCACCTTGCGCGTGTATGGCTTGTGGTCTATCACCTGCCGGAAACAGAGAAGAAGGAGGGCGGGGGGGGAAGGGGGCAGAAAAGGAAGAGGAGTCGTGTTGTGACTTGCAAGTTCCCCACCGCACGAGGCCGAAGCTGTACACATCCACCTTGCGCGTGTACGGCATGTGGTCTATCACCGGGGTGAGGGGACTCACCTCAGGCGCCATCCATTGCACGGTGCCCGTCTCACACATCATGTCCCCTGGGTTCTGGGTCTCTGTGCACGCCACCCTTACACGCAATACACATGCACTCTCTTTTGAGTGATATCCCATGCACAGCCCCCTTCCGCCTCACCTCAGGCGCCATCCATCGCACGGTGCCGGTCTCGCATGTCATGTCTCCCGGGTTCTTGGCCTCTGTGCGAGCGACGCCAAAGTCAGCGATTTTGACGCTGCCCTTGTAGCTCACCAGAATGTTGTCTGACTTCAAGTCCCGATGCACGATGTGGTGCGCGTGCAGGTACCTGTGACGAGGGGGGGAGCACAAACGGGGGTACATGGATGGATGGATGCACATGGAGGGGAGCAACGAGTGCCGACGCCAAAGTCAGCGATCTTGGCGCTGCCCTTGTAGCTCACCAGAATATTGTCTGACTTGAGATCCCGGGGCACTACGTGGTGTGTATGCAGGTAGCTGCGGGGAGAGAAGATAGATAGATAGGAAGCATAAGCGGGAGAAACGGGAGCATATGGAAGCAGATGGGAGCGCATGGGAGCAATGCGTGTCAGCGATCCCGGCTGTAGCTCACCAGGTTGTTGTCTGCCTTGAGATCCCGGGGCACTATGTGGTGTGTATGCAAGTACCTTACGGGCAGGGGGAGAGAGAGAACCAGCAGTCCCAAACGGGAACAAACGGTAACGATAGAGAGTGTGAAGCTAGGCGCTCCAGACACTGGTCTTGCAGCACAGGCCAATGCACAGCACGTCCTTCCCCCCAGCTGCCCTTCTGCCCCCCATGCACAGCAGAGTTACCAACCCACGTCCCCTCCCCTCCCCGCATCCACCCCTCTCCTACTCACTCCAGCCCCCTCACCACGCCCAGGGGGGTGTGCGCCACGTCCTTCTCCACCTTCCCCCCACCATCTCTTCCCCCATGCACCTATCCTTTTAACATTTCCCCTTCCATCTCCCCCCTTCCATCTCCCCGCTTCCCTCTCCCCCCGCCACTCACTCCAGCCCTTGCGCCACGTCCAGGGCAATGCGCAGAACGTCCTTCTCTGCCAGGCGCCCTTCTTCCCACCATGCACAACCGAACCAACAACCCTCGTCCCCTCCATTCCCCTCCCCACCCCCCCCCCCCCCCCCGCCACTCACTCCAGCCCTCGCGCCACATCCAAGGCAATCCGCAGAACGTCCTTCTCTGCCAGGCGCCGCCTGCGCGCCAGATAGTTCCGAAGCGTGCCGCCCGACATGTACTCCGTGACGATCGCCCACAGCGGCGTGCCGGGCGGCGGCTTTGCCTCTGCTGGCGCCACAATGTTACTGGCATCTAACGATGCTCCGATGAACTGACAGGGCGCACGAGGAGAAAGGGGGGAGGGGAGGGAGGGAGCAGAGGGAAAAGGAAAGCTGTTTTGGGCAGTGTGTGGGGGAGGCTTTGCCTCTGCGGGCGCCATGATGTTGCAGCGTCCAACGAGGCTCCTATGAACCGACGTTCCTTGGTGTGGTAGGGAGAGGGGACAGGGGAGAAGGGACAGGGTACACGAGACAGCGGACAGGATGGATGGAATGGGTAAGAGGGGAATTGGGGGAGGGGCAGTAGCGGGGAGGTGAGTGATTGCATGTTGAAGTGGGTTTGGCAGCATTCGAGGGAGCCCTTGTTGCACGACCAACGCACTGATAAACAAACACTCACCACTGCTCACTCACACTTGCACCGCTACACACATGCACACACTCACTCACACTCACTCACACTCACTCACACTCACTCACACGAGCTAACCTGCACGATGTTGGGGTGCTTCAGCGTGTGCTACACGTTGATCTCCTGCAGAATGCCCGCCAGCTGCCCCTGGAACTGAGGGGCATGCTTGGGTGCCGCAGTACCAACTCTCCCTCACACCGACTCACCCTCACACCAACTCATCCACTCACAGGCATACCTGCACGATGTTGGGGTGCTTCAGCGTGTGCCACACGTTGATCTCCTGCAGGATGCCCGCCTCTATGCTCGCCAGCTCCCTATTGAGAGGATGTTGAGGTGCAGCAGTACTAACTCAACCACACGTCCCCCACCAACACCCACACTCTCACTCACTCACATGCTCACCTGCACTATATTGGGGTGCTTCAGCGTGTGCCACACGTTGATTTCCTGCAGAATGCCCGCCTCTATGCTCGCCAGCTCTTTAGCGGGGATGTTGGGCGACACGCTGATCAGCTTCACTGCCACGTCATCCTGCCCGTACAGCCCGTGGTACACTCGCCCGAACGCGCCTGGTGTGGAGAGTTGGGAAATGGTGAGGAAAGGGTGGGAGGTCGGGGTAAAGGTGGGGAAGGAGGGGGAAAAGAAGAGGGGGTTCTGGGAAGTTTACCCGTGCAGCCTGTGGTACAGTTGTCTGTTTTAGTCATCCTGCATTTTTCTTTGTGTGTGTCGCTCAGATTCAAGCAATCACAAGGATAAGGTTGAACATCATGAATGAGCAAAATATAAGAGGCAACAATCTGTTCAAAGAGAAAAGGAGAAAGAAAGAAAGAAAAAGGAAACTGGTAAGCCTCAATTGGGCTGTATGGGGGGCCCAGCGGGGTTGGTACCTGCTGCAAGCTGATTGGTGCAGAGCACCTGCGGAGTACACGTGGCGAGGTGGGACGTGAGGGGGAAGGGGAAGGGGAGGGGGAAGGGGAAGGAGAAGGGGAGGGGAGGGGAATGAGAAAGGGAAGGGGAGTTGAAGGGAAGTAAACAAGAAGGGACATGGAAAAAAATGGCATGTGGGAAGGGTAAGTGACACGTGCAAGGGGATGGCAGAGCAAGGCGATATGCTGGAAATTGAGTCAATACATGAGCCTCTCGGCCATCGCGCATACCTTTGACATATCCATCTCCCACGCAGGTTTCCCGTCGCCCTTCGCCCCTCCTCCCCCGTCCGTCCCATCGTCGCCACTCTCGATCTCAAAGCACCCCGCCTTCTTCTCCGCTCCTGCCGCTCTCCCTTGTACTTTCAACGAGTCCGCTTCTATCGAGTTCGCATCTAGCGCGTTCGCTTCTAACGAGTCAGCTCCAAACGAGTTCGACGGCGACCGGCACGGGGGGTTCTCCACTAGCAGCGGCTGGTGCTGCTGCCGCCTCTCCGCGTCCCGCTGCGCGCCGTTGCTCTGCGGGTGCGCGGGGAGGGGCTGATCCGGCTGCGGGCGCGCCTGCGGGGGAAGCGCCTTCTGCGTGACGACCCCCTCCGCCTTGGGGTCGATTCCCTCCGCCTGCGCGAACGTGTTGAAGTCCAGCAGGCCCACGCGAGCCACCTTGGTGTCCGCCATTGTTAACCTCCGAAGTGCGCTGAGAACAATGCGCGGGTAGAGACAAGGGGGTCCTAAGCGAGGTAAGCACACTGACTTGCGAAGCTGGCTTCCGCTTTTCACTCCGTAAAAAAAATCTCCCCACTGGGGGTAAATTACCTGAGGTAATTTAGTTTGCTTGACTGAGAGGGGGATGTTGAGTAGACTCACGGGAAACGCGAACCGCTTTTGTTCCTTACGGCTATCGTATCTCGGGTTGCGGAGAGAGAAGAAGCTGATGATTGCGGAGACAAAAATAAGCTGTTAATTGCTTTCGTTGTTACAATTGGCGGCGGGACTTCGACTACGAGCGGCTGATCTCGTCATGACTGATGCTATAGATTATCTACCATTTGAACGAAGTATCATTCCACGAGGCGTGGAACAACTACCGCTTTACTTGGCGAACGACGAAAGGCCCTACAGCACAGCAGAGTGGTTGGCGGCAATTACGCATGTTTCTGTAGCTAGCTAACAACAACGAAAGTCAAGTATTTCATGGCACGATAAGAGAGCTATTGCAGTGCTGAAGAGCACGGGTGCTAAAGGGACAACTCCACCTTCATGTTTCTGCCAGCCTGAGGTTTTGGCATGGGCGGGAAGAGGGCAGGCAATTTCATTTTGTTCATACGGAAAGCAGGTTCTCGGCTAGGTCAGGAGGGGAAAAAAACGACGCGCCTGCCACTTCACCCGCGAAAGCGTTGGGAAACTGTTATTTCTTCCGAACCGCACAAAACTTTCTGCCCTGTATGTTGTCGCGGGAGCCTTTTCTTACCAGAGTTGCCGCAGATGCACCTGGGGATGTGGCGGGGAGGTTGGGGGTGGGGAGAGGGGGTGGGGGGTTTGTGAAAAGTGGACGCTCGTGCGTGCCACGTGAGGTTGGGTTTCTGAGGCGCAGTTGCAGCTGCTGCTCACGAAATCAGCTACTTCGATTGGCTGAATTTTAGTGCCAACTGGAGATGCGCATAGCGAAAAGAGCTTATGGATTGGTTGTTTTTTTGTCAACATGGCTTTTGGAGTCGCCAACATCTCAGCAAAAACGCATTACCAATCGCGGATCTTCGCCGAGCAATTCGCCAAAAGGAGGGGGGTCTCAACTCGATACAGAAACACCGGTACAAGTTACGGTAATACGTCCGGGAATAAAGAAATGCACAATGCACTGCAGTATCTTGTTTGATCACTGTGTCACCCCACTGAATTATGCATATCTCTGCGCCAACCTGTCCCTGACAACCAACCAGAAGTTGAAAACAAGCTGCATCAGTCCACGTGTATAACTTGTATCTGTCAGCAGCAAACGATCTTGATAAAGTTCAAGGCGCAGACAGCCGCTCGATCTTTTTCTGCTGGAAGATCGGCACCTCACATCAGCCTTACGTTCAATTTCAGCCATCCGATCAGAAAAGCTCTACAGCACGGCCCAGTTTCCTGGAGTCGTTGTCATCCTCTCCCTCCCCCCCCCCCCCCCCCCACCTCACCCTGGTTCCAGGGCTTCATTGAGCCGCTCTTGGGTCTTGAAAAACAGCATCTTTACCTTCAACTCCACTTTACAACACCTCAGATTCCCTTATTCTGCTCTTGCATGCTTGATCTGTAAACTAGAACCCTTCCAGTTTCTGAGCCATTGATCTGTCGTCATCCCCGCCACCTTCCTCGTTAGCAGCGGTTGGTGATTAGGACGGAATGGTGGCGACGACATGGTCGAGATAAACCATCGCCCATTTTCTTGGGGTTCCGATTGACCAACACGCTTTATTTGGATTTGCATTTGCTTCTTTTAGTCTGCCCTGTAAAGTTATACAACCCAAGACAAGTAGTGTTCAGTCCATGGCCTCCGCGGTTAGCATTTCGTCTGGGACAATCTTAACTGTTTCTGAATCTAGCAGCCTAGGAAGTGTCGCTCATTATTCGAACCAACATCTAGACAGCAACAGCTTCGTCGTCAGACCCGTACGAAGACAAACACTCCGATTAAGCTCTGCGCGGATCCCATCCTCTACATCGCCAATTCGATCTCCTATATCAATGGCGAAGGACCAAGGCATCGGCGGCCGGTCGACGTCAGTCAACGGATGCGCAACGCACGCTAACCCTCCGCCGATCGCGCAGACGGCGAAATCCGGCTCGTCTGCAGCTATGGACAGCACGGAGGCGGTTGAGGCGAGGTCGTCACTGTCCACCAAGTCCGTCCATGCAGGTGCGCTCGCTACTGGTGATCATTAAACACTTTTTTGTGATATTGCACTACGAGAACTGTAAACCGTTTTTTATCAGCTCTTTAGATTCTTTCTGAATGAGGGTGCTGTCCACAACTTAGATCCCTCATTCCACAACCACGCGTTGAACTTGGAGCGTGGAGGGAGAGAGAATCAGCTGAACGGGCTGATTGTATCCAATCGTGAGCTGAAGGGCATCTTATTCTTCCTGCTATTCCGTGAGTGCAGGGGAACGACCAGGACGTCCGCTGGTGGTGGACTCGCTGACGACGCCCATCGTGCAGACGTCCACCTACTTCTTTAAGGACACTGCCGACCTCATCGAGTTCGTCGTACGTGCTCTCGCCACCCCTGCATTCTCCGCGTTCGTCACACCTGTCGCATCCTGTTTTTGGTGGTGTTTCCTCCGGCTTTTAGGCTCTTCGCGTGTGTCTTTGATTTGTATGTTATTAGAAAGTGTAGAGAGAGCATAAGTCAAACGGTATAGAAAGAGCGCGATTCAACTCCGATGACCTGTGATTCACATCAGCCGTTCATTTCCCGTCGTGATTCTGTCGGTGCAGGAAGGGAGGAAGACGAGCTTTGAGTATGGCCGGTACGGCAACCCGACAACCGACACCGTGGAGCGCAAGATCAGGTCAGCACAAACCTCCGTTGCCTGATTCTCGCTCCCTGCTCCTGCGTCATTTACTCGTGAGATCGTGATGACAACATCTCCGAACAATATTGCCGTGATCACCTGTAATCTACCCTCTGTAAGGTACCAAGCTACGTGCGAAAAACATTCGGACTGCGCACTCGTTTCTCAACCCGTCCCTAAATCCCGTCCCTCCCCACTCTCGTTCCAACGTCTGTCTGCGCCCCGTGCCCCCCGTTCTCCCCGCAGCGAGCTGGAGCAGGCGGAGGCGACGCTGCTGTCGTCGTCGGGCATGTGCGCGGCGACGACGATGCTTCTGGCGCTCGTGCCGGCGGGCGGGCACATCGTCACCACCACCGACTGCTACCGCCGCACGCGCCAGTTCATCCAAACCATGCTGCCCAAAATGGGCATCACCGTGAGTGCCGCTAAGGGGGTGCGGGGATGCGGGAGGGTTTGGTGAGGAGAAGGGGAAGGGGGGGATGGGGGGAGGGAAGAGGGGTGGAGAGTGGGTGTGGCGTGCGGATTACTTGCGATGCTGTGAACTCGCATTTCTACCCAAGTCTCGCTTCCGTTTGGCGTCCCTTTACCTCCCGGTTTCCCCTTTTTCCTTCCATCAACTTTCCCGTTAGTGATCTCTCTCCTCCGATCCCGTCTCACTTCTCACTCTCTCTCTTTTCTTCCCCTCCATCCCCACCCTTTCAACTCTCCCTCCCCACCCCCCTTCCTTCCCCCTTTTTCACCCTTCCCCTTCACCGCATCACAGACGACGGTGATCGACCCGGCTGACATGGGCGCGCTGGAGAAGGCTCTCGACGAGAATGAGGTGCGTACCCATGCATGCATGACCCATCACCCATCATCCTTTAAACATGACCAGAGGTACGGTGATTAGTGCGCCTGTAAGCCCTACCGTAATCACATAGGCATATTTTGGCGAGAGTTATCGTTGGCTTGATTCTTCTCAAATGTCGTGCACACGTTTTGCACTTGAGAAGCCAAAAGTTGTTCAAACGAACTGATATGAAACTCAGACTGAACCAACACAAGACGGTACCACACGCGGAAAAAAACGTCCGAGTCGTGCTTATGCACTTCCCTCGTCTCCCTGAACCGTCCTCCTCCCATCGTCGTCCTCCCGCGCTCCCGTCTCTCATCCTCGCTCCCACTGCACTACCCCACCCCTCTCTCCTCTCCCCGCCTCCCCATTCCCACCCCTCTCCCCTCTCCTCCCCTTTCCCCCCCCCGCCACTCCTCTCAATCCTCACCCCCTCCCCCCGCTACTAGGTGTCACTCTTTTTCTCGGAGTCGCCAACGAACCCGTACCTGCGGTGCATCGACGTGCCGCTGGTGAGCGGTTCAAACAACCCTTTCGCCTTTCATCCCCCCTCCCGTTGCCCCGCCAGGTGTCGCTGTTCTTCTCGGAGTCCCCCACGAACCCGTACCTTCGGTGCATCGACGTGCCACTGGTGAGCGGGCTGTGCCACGCGAGGGGCGCGCTGGTGTGCATAGACGGCACCTTCGCCACGCCCATCAACCAGCACGTGCTGCCTCTGGGAGCCGACCTCGTGCTGCACTCGGGCACCAAGTATCTCGCTGGCCACAATGACGTGAGTCACGTGTGATGGTGGCTTGGTGGTCCGGGGGTGGAGGGGGGGGGGGGAAAGGGAAGATCTGAGGGAAAATTCGTGAGGCACATTCGGGGCGGACTTCGTGCCGCACTGCACCCAGGCACCATGTATCTCTCAGGGCACAGTGACGTGAGCTCGCCACGCTTCTCTGCTGTGCCTTCCCTTCCCCGGTTCCCTTCCCTTTCTTCTCTTCATCTCTCGCCGGAATCCTTCACGCGCCCCTCCGTGTGTCTTGCACGAGTCAAACTTTTCACCGCCATTGCCAGCGAATCATAGGCTCAGTTCCACATTGACATTCATTCCATCCCATGACCCACCTCCCCATGCCGTGCCATGCCATGCCACACAGGTGTTGGCGGGGACCATAAGTGGCAAGGCGGAGCTGGTGCAGAAGGTCCGCGCGTTGCACAACGTGCTGGGGGGAGTCGTTGACCCGGTGAGTCACTGTGCATGCACTTTGCACTGCGCTGTACCCTGCCTGCTCTACCTTAGTACGTGCCCCTGCACATCACTCTCTCCCCATTGCCCCTGCCCATCGCCCCTCCCACGCACCCCGAGCAAGCATCATGTCTTGGAGTTCCTCAAGGCCCTGTGTCGTCCATGCCCACAACCGAACATCACCTCTCCTCCTACGTCCCCGCCCACCTGTCCCTGTGCCCCCCTCACAGCACGCCTCCTACCTGATACTGCGCGGGCTCAAGACGTTGGCTCTCAGGGTGCGGCGGCAGAACGAGACCGCCATGGAGCTCGCCCTTGCGCTCTCCACCCACCCCAAGGTGCGCTGCACTGCTCCCTCCCTCCCCCCAACCTTATTAGTGCCCTCTGTGTGCCATCTCTCTCCCTGCCATGGAGCTCGCCCTCCCACTCTCCACCCACCCCAAGGTGCGCCGCTCTCTCTCCCGCTTGTTGGAGCGCCGCAAACCCTTTTAAACCCGTGCTTCTCCCGTTCCCGTTGCCTTATCCTTGTGTGATGTGTCTCTCTCCCCGCCATGGAGCTCGCGCTCACACTCTCCACCCATCCCAAAGGTGCGTTGCTCCCTCTTCGCCCGGCCGTATCGTCTCTCCTCTCCTGTGCCATGCCTCTCATGCGCCCACCCCCCCCCCCCTCGGAGCATTGCATCACCTCTCCCCTTTCCGCCCGCCGCTTCCCCGTTGCACCCCCCTCTTCCCGCCCCAGGTCGTGCGAGTGCACTACCCCGGCCTGCCCTCTCACCCCGAGCACCAAATTGCGCTGGAGCAGATGCACGGCGGCTATGGGGGTGTAGTCAGCTTCGAGGTGAGGCACAGTGCGCATGCGGGTGATGGGACAAGATTGGGGACAGTGATGGGATTTGGGGAGAAGGGAGTGCTGCAAGTACGGTACTAGAGGGGTTGCAGCCGATGTTCGGCAGGTGTGTGGGCGTCATTAGCATCCATGCGAATGGATGGAGAGAAGTTTAGCAGGGACTGTGGAGGCATGGGGAGGATGGTGGTGCAGGGTTTAGGGTTGTGTCTTGTTCCCCTGTCTCTCGTGTTGCCTTCATCGCGCAAATTTCCAACTTGTTATGGTGGCACGGTGTGGGGTGGCAGGTGGACGGGGATCTGGAGCACACGTCACGCTTCATCGATGCACTCGACATTCCCTACATCGCCCCCTCGCTGGGGGGCGTGGAGTCACTTGTTGAGCAGCCCACCATCATCTCCTATTGGTATGCCTCCATGCCTTTCTCCCCCGCTTGCTCCTCTGGTGTTTTTCATATGCTGAATGGGGCCTCCATGTTCAGACACCTCACCACGCCCTTAGCATTGTAAATATTTTTAACTCCCTTCACCTCCTTCCCACTATCCCCTCTCCTCCCTGGGCTCTGGTTGGCTGGTACACTCATGCAGGGACTACGGGCCAGAGGAGAGGGCTCGGCTGGGCATCAAGGATAACCTGGTCAGGTTCAGTGCAGGGATTGAGGACAGCTGTGACATCATCGCTGATGTCATGCAGGCTCTTGATAAGATCTAAGAACGCATCAGAACGCTAAGAAGAACATGCTTGCAATAGGGTGGATTGCCAGTCTGGTGAGCGGCTTTACAAGCTAAGGCCACTGTGCCAGGCAAAGAGCGGCAAGAGGGTGCGTCATTTGGTTTGGCACTTGTTTCTCCTTCATACCTCCTAGATAGTAAGGCTTCAGACTTCAGTGAAGGTTACTTGTGGGTGGGACAAGATCTGTAGAATATGTTTATTTTAAATGATTGATTTAGTACCCGCTTGTGCACCAAAATCAAACAACGAAGAACCACTTTTCCGTCACACCTGGCAAGTTTGGCGTCAGCACAGGTCTTGCCCCGCCACGTCACCCAGATGCTCGTCCACTTCGCGAGACAGGTACACTCACCCGATCCGAATGTCATCTTTCAACACAACTGTTCACGCGCTTGCGTGGCATTCCATCGGAAATCCGCATCTTGCGACTCGGCCGTTCATTCTCAGTCTCTTATTTCTCCCCCTCCCCAGAAGTATTCAGTTATCTGTGACACGCTTCGCTCGCATCACTCACTGCTGTGTTCGTGAGTGATCTGGTCTGGTCTTGTCCTCCTCACCTCACCCTTCACCGCTTCGTCACCTTCACCTGGTCTCATTCTTCCGCATTTCCTCGTAGAATTCGGAGGGTCCAGCACCGTCACCGACCGACATTCCTTCGCCCACCGATCGCTTCGCCAGCACAGTCACTCCTAATCCGTTTGGAGTTTTGCCGCCACCGTCAAACAGCCATGGCTACGCTAGCTTGCCCTAAGGCGACTATCGCCTTCGCTGCTTGCACCAATGCCGCTTCTCGACCAGCGGCATCTGCGGCGGTTTCTGCGGCTCCCGTGAGCAGCAGAAGCGCTCGCCTTGCCGGCTCGCTCTCCGCTTCCGCCGCCACCGCTGCCGCTGCGTGCTCCGGCAAGGAAATCTTTTCCACTCCTGTAGCGCACTCCCGCGGGAATCACGGCGCAAGTCGCGCTGTATCTCGCGGCGCTGTTCGGGTGGACGCCAGCGTGGCGCGGCGCAAGGTGCTGATCGTCAACACTAACGGCGGAGGCCACGCGGTGATTGGCTTCGCGGTGGCCCGTCAGTTAGCGACTGCCGGCCACTCGGTGACGATCATGACCGTTGGCGATCGGAACTCCGACAAGATGAAGAAGCTGCCCTTCTCGCGCTTCTCGGTGGGTTCTGTGTTCTGTGCTTGGATACCCTCTCGTACTACTCCATGATAGGCAGAGCTCGGAAACCACACCATTGTCAGCGTGTTTGACCCACTTATTTCCACAACACGGCTCTCACTTTCCGTTTACCCCCTTCCCCATTGCCCTTTTTCCCCGTTTCCATCCGCTCCCTCATTCCCCTCCCTTTCCTTTCCCCCGCTTCCTCCCCGCGCTTTCCTTCACAGGAGCTCCGCGCGGAGGGCGTGCGCACGGAGTGGGGCGACCCCGCGCGGCTATCCGCCGTGTTCGGCGCGACCGGGGGCTTCGACGTGGTGCTGGACAACAACGGCAAGGACCTCGATTCCGTCAAGTGAGTGACAATGGCGCGGTGACCGTTGGGTTTGAGCGGGTCTCAAAAGTCACTTTTGAAACCCATTCCAAAGTGCTTCGACGTTGTGCTGGATAACAACGGCAAGGACCTCGACACTGTCATGTGAGTGACTATAGAGGGGGTGAATGTAGCGCTTTACTCGACCAGACCTCTATACTGTGAAGCGTTTGTGGCCTACCGAGGCTGGCTGTATCGAGGTTGCTCAAGAAGCGTTATGACAAACTGTAACGACGGATGTTGTGGGTGTCAGAGTACATTCAGAACCTTCCAGAACCTTCCAGAACCTTCCAAAGTGAAGCCGCGTGGAAACGGACGTTTTCTAAGCACGCAATGAGGGGATTCTGCGGAAATTGAGGGCATCATTCCCTGCAAGCGCCATGTCAATGTAACCATTCGCGCTTCCCCATGCCCCTTTCCCCCTTGAGCCGCTCAGCGTGGTTTGAGACGCCTCAAAACTAGTTCACATCTGTCACCAGATAGGGATCACCGCTCCGCGTGTGCTCCTCTCCTCTTCTCCTTCTTCCCGCTCCCCCCACCCGCCCACCCCGCTTCCCCCCGCAGGCCCGTGGCGGACTGGGCAAGCGCGGCGGGCGTGCGGCAGTTCCTGTTCATCAGCAGCGCGGGCATCTACACGCCCTCCTCAGAGCCCCCTCACGTCGAAGGGGTGAGAATAACGCGATTGCGGAATGATGGATGAATTAGTAAGAAAGAGTGTTCGACTCCTGTTTTGGCTTCAGGGTTGATTGTCCTCTTTAGCAGCTCGGGCATCTAAACGCCCTCCTCCGAGCCCCCCCACGTCGAAGGGGTGAGCGCACTGCGTCACGCGATGGTGGTGTGATAAATGAAGTAGAAAGAACATTACAATTGAGCGCGCAATTCAAGCACTAAGTTACGCCATTCAATCATGCACATCCCACCCCACATCTGCCGTACCCCACCTCACCCCAACCCGCTGCATCCCACCCCACCTCGGCCCACCCCTCAGGACGCGGTGAAGGAGAGCTCGGGGCATGCACAGGTGGAGAAGTACCTGGCGGGCAAGGCGTGGGGCGACGGGTGGGCTGCGTTCCGCCCGCAGTACATCACGGGGTCCGGCAACAACAAGGACTGCGAGGAGTGGTTCTTCGACCGTGAGTGGCGCAGTCTACTCCGTAGAGTGGGAGAGTCATGAGGACGACTGCGGCATTTAGGGCAATGCATGTAGCACATGAGAGGAGGGGGAGAGCGGCAGAAGCTGCTCAAGTGGTTAGTCCACAAGGGCTGTGGTGCTGTACTCTAGGCACCGTGGTTTGCTGTGAGTAGCGAGTTCTCGTACACTGGTAGAGTGACTTGGTAAAGGGACATGCACCACACATGGCCTGTCCTGTGCATTATCTGCAGCGTACAGGGCACCATCACCAAGACAATCGTCTTGCTCTCCTCCATGCCCTTGCCACCTGCATATTCGTGCATGTGCAAGGCTTACCTTTTAGGAGCTGGAATCATTCCTCCTCCTCCCCATGCCCCTACGCCCTGCATGTGCTTGAGCAGGCATCGTGAGGGGGCGGCCAGTGCCCATCCCATCGCCGGGCATCCAGCTGACGGTGGTGGCACATGTGGACGACATAGCGCGCATGATTGCCCTCGCCATTGACTACCCGCAGGTCCGACCACCACCTCAGGTTGTTCCCACTCACACACCACATGCTCTCCCAGCCCCTTCCCCTGCGCCCGCTACCCTTCCTTCGTTTCCCTTGAATGATCATCTGACGGTCTGACCTCTGCCCATGCCTCCAATCCAAACCCGCCATTTTCACCCCGCTCCACAACCCCTGCAGGACGCCAAGGGTCAGATCTTCAACGCTGTGGGCGGCAGGGCGGTGACCTTTGACGGGCTGGCTCGCATGTGCGCCAATGCTGCTGGCCGCGCCTCATCGCTCAAGATCGTGCATTATGATCCCAAGGCCGCTGGGGTAGATGCCAAGAAGGCGTTTCCCTTCAGGAACATGGTGAGACTCCTCAAAGGACTTTGTATTCACATGCTTGTTTGTGGCATGATGAGCTTTTCATGTGGCACTACTGAGTATTTAGATATGAAAAACTGCTCTTCTAGCCCCTGTTTCACCTTACTCCCTCGTCCTCCTACATTCGTCCTCCTACATTCGTCCTCCTACATTCGTCCTCCTACATTCGTCCTCCCTGCACTCGCAGCACTTCTATTCGGAGCCCCGCAATGCGCGGGAGAGGCTGGGCTTTAAGAGCTTCACGGACCTGCAGACTGTTCTGAACCAGCGGTACATTGACTACGTGGCGGCTGGGAGGGACAAGAAGGACGCTAAGTTTGAGGTGGACGATAAGATCCTAGCTTCCAAGTAGACTGCCAGAAATGCTGATTAATAATTGTTGTAATACCATGGAAATATGAGTTTTTAGGAATGTTTTGGCAAATATATTGCACTGCGTGCATCAGCAGGCAGTGCAATGAGTCAGCGGGCAAGGAAAAAAAAATAAAACCCACTCGGAAGGCATGCCATTCGGGAGGCATCAACCCTAAAATTTTAGGGTTGAGGCTCCCGAATGACATGGAGCCCGAATGGGTTTTAGTTTTTTTCTGCCCGCGGTCAGCATGCTGACTCACTCGGTAGCGTCGTCTAGCAGAACGGTAGCCGAGCGCTACCAACGCTACCAAGTGTAATATATTGCAAGTAATACGGTACCAGCAGGAAATGAAGGAGCAGCTGTGTGAAAATAATGGCCATGTTCCCCAAGCCCTGTACCCCAGGTGGCATGAGGACATGTTGAGGTTGTAGGATTCACCCGCCCACTCAACGAGAGCTTCAGAGGATTGTGTGTTTCAGCTAAGCTGCAAGTCCAGGGCTAGCACAGGCCTCATTCACGTAAGGTGGGGCTTTCCACCAAAGGAAAAAGCGCGTTCAGCAGGATTCGAAGCTGCGAGAGCGTAGCCCAACAGGTTTCAAATCTGTCCCGTTAACCACTCCGGCATGAACGCTTGCTTCTTTTCGAAGAAAAACAGAATTATTATTGTTAAGTTTTGAATCCATGTCTGCTCTGTTCATACCTCTTTATTGACACTATAGTAAATGTACAATGTATACAAGGCAAATCCAGACACCTAGTGCATGGAAAGACATGCAGGCTAATCCTATTGTGAGGCCTACAAATAGGCCTCTGAGATGTCTCAGTGGTCCTCTCCCAAGTAGGCAAAGTCAGCTGCAGAAAGAGAAGTCACCTCGGGTGGTGCGTGGTTGACGCCCTCAGTAAAACGAATTTGTGCACGACGACAAACAGTGCGAGCCTGCTCACGTTGGTGGACCAGAGAAATCCGTTTGTAGAAGTTGGTCTCAAACAGCAGGGGAAGAGAATCTGTAGCACCACTCAAGTCGCGGAGTTGTGACGCCCCTTTGCGGCTACATTGGCGAAGGAAGTTGTTGAACGAAGAGCCGAAGCAACCGAAGGTTTCGATGACAAGGGGAAACAGTTTGATGTCTGGACGGTCATGAAGTGCTGTAGCATAGTGGGTGGTCTTCTCACTTTCACGAGTGGCTGCTGCTGAACCAATCACCGTAGCTGCGTTGGAGTGCGGAAACCCCTTTTGTGGATCAGCAACAGAAACATCCAAGGCACAGGTGGTACCAGAGCTAATGTCGCGGCACGTGATGTCTGTGCGGCGGCCAGGCAGGAGATGTTGGTCTTCCATCTGCGCAGAGAACCCAAGCTCCAAGGCAATGCGATGAACTTCTCGTTTGATTGCGTCGTGCACCTTAGTAGGCTCGTTGTTGCTAGGGCAGCGAAGGACATGAGAATGGATGGAAGGATCGGTGAACGGGGAGTTGCAGGTGCAGGTGAGCGAAGATGAAAGGTGAGGGAGAGGAAGGCCTAAGCGGATAGCTGCTGCAGTGCGCCATTCAGTCTCTGAAAGCTGCATGTGCGGGGAGGATGGAGCCACAGTGAGCCAGTCACCTGCATGCGGGCCCTGCAAAGAGGTTAGACGAGCAAGGCGAAGCGGGGACGTTACTGTGGCTCGAACCTTCTCCAGCAAATCGGCTTCGAGGTGTTGGGAGAGATGAGTAAAGAGTTTAGGAGGGTAGCCCGATTGAAGCACAGGCCATGATGGGAAGCGATCACGAATGTCTTGGGGAAGCATAGTCATGGTGGATGAGATTGAAGGGTCGAGGAGGTTAATGGAGTCCGTGGTGACGTAGGGGCGGAAAAGAGGAGCACCATCAGTGATGAAGTGGGTGGATAAGGTCGAAACTGTCTGCGCCCAGCTACAGAGGTAACTGAGGGGGGCGATGGATGCAGAGCTGCGAATGCCGAAGCCAAGCGAGGCTTGGAGGCGGGCCGATGTGGACTGTTCAGAGGTGGGATTCCAGTACTCAGAGCCCAGGAGCCGAGAGAAGTGGCTGAAAATGGTGCTGTCCCATGAAGAGAGAAGCTCTTGGATTTCGGGAAAAGGTGCGACAGTTCGGAGGAGGAAAGAAGGTCGGGCAGTGATGCATAAGGAAAGGATCCGTGAGGCAATCTGTGGGTCCTGCAGTTGATGCAGTAAGGGGAGGGAGGAAGTGAAAGAATCGAGTTTGTCACGAACTGTAGAGATGATGTAACCGTCGGAGCCAGTAGGAACGCCGGCGACAGTGAGACCGTTTGCAGCGATGGAAATACCCGGGGGCGGAATGCAGTGTTCAGGCAGGTCCATAGGGGCCCATAAAGAGCACTTAGAGGGTTGGACTGTAAGGCCGAGAGAGAGAAGGCGGGAGGTAAGGTCAGTGTATGCGGAAAAGACGTCTGAGGGAGGGCCGACCAAGTAGGTATCGTCTGCGTATGAGGTAATGAAAATTGAGGGAGACTGCTGTTGGGTTGGTTGGATGGCTAGCTGTTGTGTTAAGGCATAAAGGAAAGGGCCACAAGGGTCGCCTTGACGAACACCAGAAGCTGACTGGAATGTGTGGAGAAGGGGGCCGCTGCGGTAGTGGAGAGGTGAAGGGGTGGAGTAGAATAGGCGGAAGAAGGGAATGAGACTGGAGAATGGGGAGCGCCTTAATGCCTCAAACATGGAAACCCGGTTGAACGAGTTGAACGCGTTTGCAACGTCCAGCTGAAGCACCACCCAGTCTGGATGAAGGGAGAAGGCGGAGCACACTGCGTGCGACATAATCTCGATCCCGGCCGGAACTGCTACGCCAAATTGAAGGTGAGGAAGGAATGTCTCTCGCATCTGCTGCTTAAAAAGGAGAGTGATGCAGCGTGAAAGGAGGCGTGGTAGCACTTCCCCAATGGCGATGGGACGTACACCACCATGCGGATTGTGCAGGGCCACGAGGTTCGAAGCGGTGTAGAAAGGCCTGACTGCAGGTGGAAGGTCACCCTGCAGCCAGTTCTGGAATACGTGGAGGAGAGAAGGGAGATGCTGCTGGTGAGAAAGAAACGTGTCCCTGAGGTGCTCAATGAACCACCCAGAAGGACCAGCAGCTGTGCCACGAGGGGCGGACTGTAGAGCGGCATGGAGAACAGGGACGGTAAGCTGTGGTGTGGCTGCAGGAGTGAAGCTGTGTACCCAGTCAGAAATTTCTGCTGCAGCAGGTGGGTGCTTGGAGCCGAGGGCAGCAACCGTTTCTGATGATGGAGGAGCTAGCTCGCCAGCTTCCAGTGCTGCCAGTGACCGCGACCAGTCCCCGCATTTCGCAAACCGCTTCGCACGGTTGAGACGAGCCTGCAGCGCCGTAGAACGTGCCGATGCCATGTGCAGAGGTCTGGCGGCTGGAGTGGCTGCAGCTACAGCCTCACTGAAAAGAGACTGCCAGTCACCATTGATGAAGCGGCGCGCTAAGGAGGCACATGAAGAGGTAAGGGACTGCGTGGGAGCAGCGGCGGATGGTAGGCGCAGCAAGAGACGCGGAAAAACAAAATTATTATTGTTAAGTTTTGAATCCATGTCTGCTCTGTTCATACCTCTTTATTGACACTATAGTAAATGTACAATGTATACAAGGCAAATCCAGACACCTAGTGCATGGAAAGACATGCAGGCTAATCCTATTGTGAGGCCTACAAATAGGCCTCTGAGATGTCTCAGTGGTCCTCTCCCAAGTAGGCAAAGTCAGCTGCAGAAAGAGAAGTCACCTCGGGTGGTGCGTGGTTGACGCCCTCAGTAAAACGAATTTGTGCACGACGACAAACAGTGCGAGCCTGCTCACGTTGGTGGACCAGAGAAATCCGTTTGTAGAAGTTGGTCTCAAACAGCAGGGGAAGAGAATCTGTAGCACCACTCAAGTCGCGGAGTTGTGACGCCCCTTTGCGGCTACATTGGCGAAGGAAGTTGTTGAACGAAGAGCCGAAGCAACCGAAGGTTTCGATGACAAGGGGAAACAGTTTGATGTCTGGACGGTCATGAAGTGCTGTAGCATAGTGGGTGGTCTTCTCACTTTCACGAGTGGCTGCTGCTGAACCAATCACCGTAGCTGCGTTGGAGTGCAGAAACCCCTTTTGTGGATCAGCAACAGAAACATCCAAGGCACAGGTGGTACCAGAGCTAATGTCGCGGCACGTGATGTCTGTGCGGCGGCCAGGCAGGAGATGTTGGTCTTCCATCTGCGCAGAGAACCCAAGCTCCAAGGCAATGCGATGAACTTCTCGTTTGATTGCGTCGTGCACCTTAGTAGGCTCGTTGTTGCTAGGGCAGCGAAGGACATGAGAATGGATGGAAGGATCGGTGAACGGGGAGTTGCAGGTGCAGGTGAGCAAAGATGAAAGGTGAGGGAGAGGAAGGCCTAAGCGGATAGCTGCTGCAATGCGCCATTCAGTCTCTGAAAGCTGCATGTGCGGGGAGGATGGAGCCACAGTGAGCCAGTCACCTGCATGCGGGCCCTGCAAAGAGGTTAGACGAGCAAGGCGAAGCGGGGACGTTACTGTGGCTCGAACCTTCTCCAGCAAATCGGCTTCGAGGTGTTGGGAGAGATGAGTAAAGAGTTTAGGAGGGTAGCCCGATTGAAGCACAGGCCATGATGGGAAGCGATCACGAATGTCTTGGGGAAGCATAGTCATGGTGGATGAGATTGAAGGGTCGAGGAGGTTAATGGAGTCCGTGGTGACGTAGGGGCGGAAAAGAGGAGCACCATCAGTGATGAAGTGGGTGGATAAGGTCGAAACTGTCTGCGCCCAGCTACAGAGGTAACTGAGGGGGGCGATGGATGCAGAGCTGCGAATGCCGAAGCCAAGCGAGGCTTGGAGGCGGGCCGATGTGGACTGTTCAGAGGTGGGATTCCAGTACTCAGAGCCCAGGAGCCGAGAGAAGTGGCTGAAAATGGTGCTGTCCCATGAAGAGAGAAGCTCTTGGATTTCGGGAAAAGGTGCGACAGTTCGGAGGAGGAAAGAAGGTCGGGCAGTGATGCATAAGGAAAGGATCCGTGAGGCAATCTGTGGGTCCTGCAGTTGATGCAGTAAGGGGAGGGAGGAAGTGAAAGAATCGAGTTTGTCACGAACTGTAGAGATGATGTAACCGTCGGAGCCAGTAGGAACGCCGGCGACAGTGAGACCGTTTGCAGCGATGGAAATACCCGGGGGCGGAATGCAGTGTTCAGGCAGGTCCATAGGGGCCCATAAAGAGCACTTAGAGGGTTGGACTGTAAGGCCGAGAGAGAGAAGGCGGGAGGTAAGGTCAGTGTATGCGGAAAAGACGTCTGAGGGAGGGCCGACCAAGTAGGTATCGTCTGCGTATGAGGTAATGAAAATTGAGGGAGACTGCTGTTGGGTTGGTTGGATGGCTAGCTGTTGTGTTAAGGCATAAAGGAAAGGGCCACAAGGGTCGCCTTGACGAACACCAGAAGCTGACTGGAATGTGTGGAGAAGGGGGCCGCTGCGGTAGTGGAGAGGTGAAGGGGTGGAGTAGAATAGGCGGAAGAAGGGAATGAGACTGGAGAATGGGGAGCGCCTTAATGCCTCAAACATGGAAACCCGGTTGAACGAGTTGAACGCGTTTGCAACGTCCAGCTGAAGCACCACCCAGTCTGGATGAAGGGAGAAGGCGGAGCACACTGCGTGCGACATAATCTCGATCCCGGCCGGAACTGCTACGCCAAATTGAAGGTGAGGAAGGAATGTCTCTCGCATCTGCTGCTTAAAAAGGAGAGTGATGCAGCGTGAAAGGAGGCGTGGTAGCACTTCCCCAATGGCGATGGGACGTACACCACCATGCGGATTGTGCAGGGCCACGAGGTTCGAAGCGGTGTAGAAAGGCCTGACTGCAGGTGGAAGGTCACCCTGCAGCCAGTTCTGGAATACGTGGAGGAGAGAAGGGAGATGCTGCTGGTGAGAAAGAAACGTGTCCCTGAGGTGCTCAATGAACCACCCAGAAGGACCAGCAGCTGTGCCACGAGGGGCGGACTGTAGAGCGGCATGGAGAACAGGGACGGTAAGCTGTGGTGTGGCTGCAGGAGTGAAGCTGTGTACCCAGTCAGAAATTTCTGCTGCAGCAGGTGGGTGCTTGGAGCCGAGGGCAGCAACCGTTTCTGATGATGGAGGAGCTAGCTCGCCAGCTTCCAGTGCTGCCAGTGACCGCGACCAGTCCCCGCATTTCGCAAACCGCTTCGCACGGTTGAGACGAGCCTGCAGCGCCGTAGAACGTGCCGATGCCATGTGCAAAGGTCTGGCGGCTGGAGTGGCTGCAGCTACAGCCTCACTGAAAAGAGACTGCCAGTCACCATTGATGAAGCGGCGCGCTAAGGAGGCACATGAAGAGGTAAGGGACTGCGTGGGAGCAGCGGCGGATGGTAGGCGCAGCAAGAGACGCGGAAATGCCAAGAGAATGAGGTGTGCAGCGACATCAGAAGGCTGCTGTGCAAGGCGGCGCAGTGGAATGAGAAGTGCATCGAGAATGAGGAGTCGGATGCGGGAGGGGATTCGGCGGAGAATAGGGCCAGGTGAGACTGCTGGGCTGAAGAAGGAAGGCCAATCCCAGGAAGGAATGGCCTCCCAAGTGGCTTGAGGAATTGCAGGTCGATCTGCGGCTGCAGGCGCCGAGGTTGGGGTTGATGAGCGGGGAGGAGGAGGCCGAGCAGCTTGCTGACGTGTGGCGGTGTTGCGAGAGCAGGCTGGAAGGTGACGGGCCAGCGAACCTGGGTTGGCAAAGGTGCGTCGACATGTGGGGCAAGAATTAGGAGGTAGTGGGTTATCGGAGGTTGATGAGGGCGGGCAGGGTTGCGGGCATGGCTGCGTAGAGTGAGGGGTAGGGGAAGGAGGAGGGAGATCTCGAGAAGGTGAAGCAGCAGTTTCATAGTGTGATAGTGGGTGCGTGTTGTCGGCAGGGGCTGTGGGATCAGGAGCATCCGCTGCAGTCGTCGGAGGAGGTGTTGAGGTGGATGAAGGATGGGCCCGGGAAGTCGAGGGCTGAGGGTGAGAGGTTTCAGGCCGTGTTGAAGACGGAGAATCAGGAAGGGTGCCCTTCAGGACGTGCTGGAGAATCTCCTTTTGTTTTTTCGATACAATTTTCGGGGCTGGTGTTGTCGAAGGTTGCTGGGAATGAGCAGAAGATGGTTTAGGCTTAGGAGTAGGGGGTGGTGCAAGGTTTGATGGGGAGGTTGAAAGAGTCGCAAAGGCAGGAGTTTGTCGCGAACGGGCAGGCGGACGAGGAGAAGTGGGTTCAGAGTCTTGGGTTCCACGGCCCCTTTTGCGGCTTGTCATTTTGTTGGGTAGTAGGATCGTGGCATGTGGAGTGAATGTGGAAAGTGAGGAAGCATAAGAAGGAAGCTGGAAAAATGAAATGTAGCTGTTAGGTGGTGTAGCGCGAGAGGTCTCGTGAAGCGAGGTTGCGGATGCTGTAGGGGCAGCTGCAAGCGAGGATGCAGACGCGGCGAGGTGGCGGGAAATTTGGGAGGTGGGGAGGGGCGGTGCAGTTGCCAAAGGGAGGGAAGACGCGGAACAGCTGGTCGTGCTGCGGAAGGTGAAATATCGTGCTGGCGGCGTGCTGCAAGGTCCTGAACACAACCCACGCAACTGAACTCGATGTTCGTGGCCGGTACGAGCGAGCTGTTCATACCACTAGTTCACCTCTCTGCCATCCATCGTCTCCCCACCACTTCCCTTCGCCGATCACAGCCATTCCGACCTTCACAGCTCCGTCCATCACGCTGCGATCATCGCGGGCCCGCCAGCATGAGCGGCATCGGCAGGGCGCTCTACAATGTGGGCTTCTGGGTGCGCGAGACGGGTCAAGCGCTCGACCGACTCGGGTGCAGACTGCAGGGCAAATATGCCTTCACTGAAGAGCGTGAGTCACGGCGGCGATCTGTCTCTCGGGATTTAGCAAGATCCTCTGCGCTTGTCGGTGGTTGGGATACGATCCAGGCGCGAGGGCATCGCGGGGAAGGATAGAAGGATGGAACGCGTGGATTAGGGTTGCGAGAGATTAACGGTCTAGATCGCGCAGGGATTAGGACCACCAGTCGATCGTGCCTTACCACGCTAGTACTGCTGATTTCGTCGATCGAACGGCTACCATTTCACTGAATGGGTTCTAGTGCGCGCCAGAGCCGTTGCAGGCGGAAACCGTTGGGTGCTGAAAGGGGCACCTGAGTGTCGCCTGGTCGCGGGAAGCGGCGACCGCTCTGATCGTCTCCGATCCTGTCGTGCCCCATCCTGTCTCCGATTCTATTCCTGTCCACAACCATGCACATGGCCATGTGCATAGTCCTGGCCGTGTTGAATCCTCTCCCGCACAAGCAACCACCGTCGCCACCCCTCTTTCTCAACTTCCCTCCCCCCTCTACTTCCCATGCCTCCCTGTTTTTCCCCGCCCCACCCCTTCGAATCCGCCCCCTTGTTTCCGCGTGTTCCCCCGGTATTATCCTCGCTTCCCGTCGTTCCCGCGCGCCGCAGTCTCGCGGCATCGCACGATCATGAATCTTTTCGACAAGCTGCCCGAGGTGCCCGCGAACGCCTTCGTGGCGCCGAGCGCGGCTGTGATTGGCGACGTGCAGATCGGGCAGCGATCATCTGTGTGGTACAACGCCATTCTCAGAGGTAAAGCCCTCCCCAGCCACACCTTCCCTACCATATTCTCCCCTTTCCATACTTTTCCTTCAACATACCATACCCTCCGTATGCCATACCTACACCTTTCCACACCTCCTCCTTACCATACCACTTCGTTACCATACCTCCCCCTTTCCATACCTCTTCTTTACCATACCTCTCGCTTACCATACCTCTTCTTTACCATACCTACCCCTTACCATACCTCTTCTTTACCGTACCTCCCCCTTGCCATACCTCCTCATGACCGTACCTCCCCATTACCATACCCATCTGCTCCCATGCCACTCCTCCACACCTCCCCATCGCCCCAGCGCCGTGCCCCCACCACCGCGCCTCCTACTCGTGCGCCGCCATGCGCCCACCTGCCCCGCGCCCCACTCCCCGTTCCCCTTCCACACTCCTCTCCCGCCTCCAGTCACCAACCAACCCCCCACAAGTCCCCCTCCCCCTCCGTATCTGCTCCGTTTCTCCTGATGCCACCTGGCTCATTCCCTATCGTTTCTGTCGCGCAGGCGACGTGAACAGCATCCGCGTGGGCGCGGACACAAACATTCAGGACGGCTGCATCTACCATTTTCCTTCCCCCACTCCCCCACACCACACCATCCCCTCCCCCTCCCCTTCCCCTGGCAGGCGACGTGAACAGCATCCGCGTGGGCGCGGACACGAACATCCAGGACGGGTGCATCGTGCATGTGGCAAAGACCAACCTCGCCGGGAAGATCCTCCCCACCATCATCGGCTCGCGTGTCACCGTCGGTGAGCCTGCTGTTGCTTTCCGCGCCACTGTCGGTAGGCTTTGAGGCTCACTGGGGTTCGGTGCTTTGTGCTTGGCGGACCTGCTGCTGTTCGCCCAATGGGGTGTAGTCACTTTTGAAACCACCTCGGAAGTCATCTCATTTCCCTCCCCTTGCCCCACGTCCCTCTCCTTCCCCACCAGGTCACAACGCGGTGCTGCATGCATGCACGGTGGAGGACGAGGCATTCGTGGGCATCCAATCTGAGCCACACTGTGCAGGTGTGCCTAGAGTCACTTCTGAACTCAAAACACCTCTCCCCTCCTTTTCCCCCCTTATCCCTCCAGGGCACAACGCGGTGCTCCACGCGTGCACGGTGGAGGACGAGGCGTTTGTAGGTATCGGAGCCACGCTGCTTGATGGGGTGGTGGTGGAGTCGGGTGCCATGGTGGCTGCTGGCGCTCTCGTTGTGCAGAACACCCGCATTCCCTCGGGACAGGTGGGTCCCCCACTCCCTCTCTTGGAGAATTCGTGCACACTTAGCCCAGCAGGAGACCATCCTTGTGTAACCAACCTCTCTTACAACAAACCCTTTGGACAGCCACATAACCCCATCCCTCCCACTCGCCGCCCTCTGCCTCCCCCACCCCATAACCCAGATTTGGGCCGGGTCGCCAGCTAAGTTCTTCCGCACGCTGACAGCAGCAGAGCAAGCATTCATTGCCAAGTCAGCGGAGAGCTATGCCAGCCTGGCAGAGGTACACGCCAAGGAGAATGCCAAGAGCTTTGAGGAGGTGGAGGCGGATAAGAACCAGAGGGAGGGGTGGGCCAACTACAGTGAAGACTTCGTTTCTAGTGTGGGCGCTGTTGTGGATAAGCCGCCTGTTCCTGGTCCAGTCAAGCTGGCTTAGGCAGGGAATGGGTGCGGTGCGGCGTAAGCTTGAAGCTCGTCAATTGACTTGAACAATGGAGGTTGTTCCAGTTGCTGGTGAAGGTTTATTAGACTGAATTCGATGTAGGATGGTTAGGTGTATACTTCTAACTGGTTTCCCTCCATTGCCTTTCCATGGTCCCTCTATGGTCTGCAAGGTACCATTGTGTATCATTCTTTGCCGATTAAACACAAATATTTGTTGTACAAATAGGAGCAAGCTTAACAGTAAGTGTACCTCTCTGTAAGGTGCCCACTGCTCTCTGTATGTTTTGCAGAACTGTAGATTTATCGAGGTGCGGTATACCGGGAATCTACACGAATATGAATGCGACCCATTTTCATCGATCTTCCGCCTGCTAGTTGCCCCAGAGCGGGACTCATGGCCAACAACACAGAAACATGCCAGCCGATTTCGCGCAAACGCAGTGCGCTATCTTTGGAATGCAACTTTCTGCCATGCGAGTCCTCCAATGTTGCTAGTGATCAGGACTTAGCCGGAAACAGAAGCCAGTGCGGACCGTCGCCATTGGAGGCTAAGGGTGTTGCCTCGGAAGGGATCGTGGCAGGGCTTGTATCGCGGATAGAGAGAGGGGAATTGGTTCCACCGTTGAAAAGAGCGAAAAAATCAGTCGATGAGGGAAGCGAGCAGGCTGATTTCGAAGCTAACGATGCACGAGGAGGTAGAGTCAGGGTTGTACTGGGAGCTAGGACCGGCAATGAGGCGGAAGAATCCGCCTTGCTGGAACCACGAGAAGGTCCCGGAGAAAGGGATGCGGAAGTGAAATTGGATAGGGAAAATTCTGACGCCGTGGAAAATATGTGTGCTGTCGTTTTCAGTAACATTGACAAATCCGCTATCGAGGCTGAGAATAAGAAGTTAGAGAAAGAGGACGGCAGGCAGCTATGCTTATTGGAGGAGAAGGGTAAGATGACATGGGAGCAGCAATGGATGGTGGCAGCAGTGGATGGAGTGGTGCAGAGGTTGGTGCATGTGGAGGAGGGGGAGATGACTCGACTGCTTGTAGCGCAGCAGAGACAACTGAAGGTGCGTGAATCGGGAACTCCGTCGGCTGCTGATGGTGTGCATAAGGAGAGCTTTTTGATATATATTTACCTTCTTCCATTACAACCAAACATAACCCGACCAAGGCTCTACCAGAGCACGTACGCTTCCCAATAATACTTGCTCTCGCAATCCTTTTTTTTCCTTCCTTCAGGCGAATGCAGCAGTGTCAAGAGCAGGAGAAGCAGCCTTAGATGCAAGGCAAGCGCATGGCAACTTGGAAGAAGCACAAAGGCAGGCCGTGGTGGAGCTTGAAGAAAGCCAAGCTGCGCTCCAGGAAGCAACAATGCGTTTGGGGGATCTCGAGACTGCACGGCAGCAGCATGAGGAGTTTCTGGAGAAACGAGTTGCTCAGCAGAAGCTTGTGGTAGAGCGTGCACTGAAGCAATTGCAGGTCTGGATACATTGTCTTGAGTTCCCTGCTATCCTATCCTGTGCCATCTCTACACTGATTTCTTCCCTTTCCCTGTTCTCTTCTACTTCGTTGGTGCATGCAGAATGTAGCGAGAATAATAGCTAAGGAAGAATCAGAAGAAGCTGAGGTGTTAGGGGAAGGAGTAACAAAGTTAAATAGCACCTGGATTCAGCTTGCAGCTGAGCAGAGGAAGCTTCATGAGCTTCTCTTAACTTGCTCCAAGATCCCTTCAGACTGCGTGTAGAAAGTAGCTCTGAATCTGAACACTTAGGCCTAAAAGGTATGAAGTTTGAATTGAACTTTTAATCAAGTTCAGCTTCGGAATACAAAAATACCGGTAGGTACCTAGGAGAAAAAAAATGCTATGAGATAAAATGTAAGGCTCCTACAACTACCGATTGTTTGATTTCTATGAAAGACACCGAAACACTCATGTTTCACTTTGCTTGCTACTACGCTTCTTTGCTTCACTGTACAGCACAACCCCAATGACTGTGATGCTGTAGCCAATCATTCCTACCACCGTTACAGGATTCCTGAAGAGGAGGATGGATACGACGACAGCAACAGCGCCTTTCGCATTGCCAAGAACCTGCAAGAATGACAACAATTTTGAGATAGGAACCGAATCTGTACAAAAAGATGCTTCCACAGGGTGGGCAAACGACATACCTGCAGTGTTAAAGGGCTAGTGTACTTGGTGACCAAGAAATTGGTGAGATTCACAAAGTATGCTGTTGCCGAGTTGACAGCCAGCAAAGGAAGGATTCCCCAGTCTTCCTTAGCTTGCTTGATTGTAATGCCAAGCACATTGTCCTCCATGATTAAAGTGGCTGGCACCAGCAGCACCACGGCTATCGGAGCCATGTAGAGCAGAAGGTTCATAGAGTTCAGCTTTTCCCTGCAGTCATGTTCAAACAAATTCAGAATGTGTATATTAGATTGCTGGGGACGAAACAAAAGAGAACTTACCCATCAGACTGCAGGAGCAAGCCCTGCACGACTGTCTTCAAGGCTCTAGCTGCAGTAGCTGCGATGCAAATAATGAACCCATATAGATGAAAGCTCGGCTCACTCTGGAAGCACAAGACGGAGAAGAAAAGTAAGTCTCATGGCCATCTCTACCGTGCAAGAAAGCTGACTCGATAAGAGGATTCACTCACCCCACTGGCAATGACAACTCCCATGACCACTGGGATTAAGGCAGCATACGTTAACCAAGCTTCCCGTTTAAAGGTCATAATGTAAGCAAAGAATGCGGTGAAAAACGGAGTTGTAGCCCCAATCGCTTGATTGAAGGACACTGGGAGGTATTTCAGCGATATGTTGCCACTGACCACCGAGAAGCAGAATATGGCACTTAGAGCTGCAATTTTCAGGAATTGCGACCTTGACCTTATTGCCTGTAAGCCAAGCACGTACGGGAATTGTCGAGACCCTGGGGATGAGTGGATAGTCCAGCATAGTGAACCCTAACAAGAGTCTCAACAGCTGCACAGTGGCTAGCATAAACAAGACATCAAGATCAACACCCTCGATACTGCATGCATTTGCTGGCCCAGGAGCTCACCCACCTGCAACGGTACAAGCTTCATCCATGCAATCGCTATGTAGCTGAAGAGCGAGCATGCAGCCATGTGACACATTGTCAAGAAGATAGGGTACTTGTAGCCATAATTGCTGAGTAGAAACTTGTTAAGCAGCAGAACGCCGATATTGCATATGTACCATGATGCTATCAACCCCAAAGTAAACCAGCTGGTCGACCCCCTGCCCTGCTGAGCCTTATCCTGCATTGAAAAGAAAGCAAAGCTCAGGTCTCGCTCTGCTATCAGATCCTTCACGTAAGCGAAACGACGCGTACCTCGACAGCCATTGTTCTCCCAACGGAACCGATCACATTCACAAACGTGAACCTAAGTGGCCTAAACTAGCCGTACAGTCTAACATCAACAAAAAAACGGGGTTTCCAGACGGAACGCCATTGATTAATCAACAAGCAAGACCTTCCCAGCGAAGGAACTCGGAAAGTGCGAGACTAAGGCGAATTTCTCCGTCTGAAAATGCTTGTTGCATTCGAGTTACTCGAGGTGGATCGACGTAGAAAGCGAGATTTGCAGCCTAGGAGCTCAGAACCAGCTGCTGTGACTTTCCTGCTCCTCTCCAGTGCTCTGAATCGATATTAGCAGGTGACGCCAACTATCCACTCTTGTGCTCCAAAATTTCGTACTACAATGACCCAACTCATATAAAGAAATTAATCCTACAATATTATAGAAGGACTTTATATGCCAGGTTTTCTCCTAGAAAGCATATGACTCATTGACCTGACCCTTGTTTTCTGCACGAGGAGGAGGCTGGGGTTTCCGAACCGTTCCGTTAGATACGCATGTACGCATATTTTTTTCCATCGACAGTTAGATAGGGGGGAATAACTCGATGCATAAGGCTGTCCAATGCCACATGACCTCTTGCTTGTTGGAGCCGCTGTGCAGAGAGGTGGGAAAGATAAATATCATGTACGGTGTTTGTGAAAATCTGGTGTACAACGTAGATGACACGTTACCAACTAATGGAAGACAGCGGCTGCATAGGGCTGGGGGGGTGCAGCAGGCCTTGCTAGGGTTTCAAATCAGCACTACGCACTAATGAAAACAAGCCCGGTGTTGCCCCTCCTATGAAATAACGCAAGGGCCAGTCCACCGTCTGACCTCATATTGAAGTGTGCAAGTTAGTGTGAAGCGGAGCACCTTGTCGGGGAATGGTGTTTGAAAACCTGCACTGGGCATGCCCGATTGATCCTATGGAAGGGTTACAGGATCGCTAGACTTGGGGGTTATGGGTGCACTCACCCGCTACTCAACAAGTCATTTTATCACAGTGGTCTAGTAGCTGTGATTTGACACCTTTAACCCAGTTGTCTAGTGGTCATGATTCTTACATGTGGCTGTCTCCAAGTAGTGATGCTCATGTAACATGAGACAAGGCTTTTGCAATGGCAACTGATGTGGCAATCATCATTGGATATGTGTGTCAGAAGACCTGCACCGGGGATGCCTGATTGGTCATACGAAAGGGTTACAAATGCAGAGCCTAGTGGGTTTTTGGGGCACACACCCGCTACTTAACATGCCTTTTTATCCCGGTGGTACAATGGCTAGGATTATGAGATGATATCGAGAGCTACGTTTCCATGGCGCCCTTTTCTCATAGCGCCACCTCGTCGCCTCTCCTCACGCTTCCCTGCACCTCTTCTCGGCCCTTCCTCGAGCGCCACGTCGCGTTCCCGCCCCTCCCCCCCTCGTCGCGGGCCCTCATAAAGCGCCACGCCCCTGCCCCTTCACCCCTTCGTCGAGACCCTTCTCCTTGAGCGCCCCGTCGCGACCCTATCGTGCCTGCTGCCGTAAGGGGAGGCGGAGGGGAGGGCGGCTGTGGCGGACGACAAGCTGTTGACGCCCCTCATCATCGCCCCCCCCCCCCCCCCCCCCCCCCTCGCGCC